CCGGATGCACTAGACATCCCGACTCCGCGTTCTTACGCGGAGGCCGTAGAGGGTCCCTACTCCTCTCAGTGGCAGGCAGCTATGGATGCAGAGATGGCTTCCTGGAAGTCCACAGGCACCTACGTTGACGCGGTTCCCCCTCCTGGGGCGAACATCGTCAGTGGCATGTGGATCTTCAGGGTGAAGCGGCCGCCGGGCTCTCCACCTGTCTTCAAGGCACGGTACGTTGCTCGTGGCTTCAGTCAGCGGCAGGGAGTTGACTACTTTCAGACCTTCTCTCCCACCCCGAAGATGACTACTCTTCGGGTGCTGCTGCACATAGCCGCTCAGCACGACTACGAGCTTCACTCTCTCGACTTCAGCACTGCGTTCTTGCAGGGTAGCCTGCACGAGGAGATCTGGCTGCGCCGTCCACCTGGCTTCACTGGGACTTTCCCTCCTGGCACCCAGTGGAGCCTCAGACGGCCAGTCTACGGTCTCCGTCAGGCACCGCGTGAGTGGCACGACACACTGAGGACTACGCTTGCGGCTCTTGGGTTTGCTCCTTCTACTGCTGACCCGTCACTGTTTCTTCGCACCGACACTTCCCTGCCGCCGTTCTACATCCTCGTGTACGTCGACGACTTGGTCTTTGCCACAGCAGACACTGCTGGACTCGCCTACGTGAAGTCCGAGCTGCTGAAGAGACACACGTGCACAGACCTGGGTGAACTGCGCAGCTACCTTGGCTTGCAGATCACCCGGGACAGAGCACGCCGCACCATTACCTTGACTCAGTCACACATGGTGCAGCAGGTCCTTCAGCGCTTCGGCTTCACGTACTCCTCGCCTCAGGCCACTCCTCTGCCTACTCGCCACTCACTCTCAGCTCTGCCTTCGGATGAGTCCGTAGAGTCGAGTGGTCCGTATGCAGAGCTTGTTGGCTGCCTCATGTACCTGATGACCTACACACGACCTGACCTTGCATACCCTCTGAGCATTCTTGCTCGCTATGTTGCTCCTGGGAGACACAGAGCGGAGCACATGGCTGCAGCGAAGAGGGTATTGCGCTACTTGTGCAGCACGTCGGGCATGGGGCTAGTGCTTGGAGGGCGGAGTCCAGTGGTCCTTACCGGCCACGCGGACGCTTCTTGGGCTGACGACCAGGCTACGCAGCGGTCGTCACAGGGTTACACCTTCAGCCTTGGTTCCGGCTCTGTCTCGTGGCGGTCTACTCGCTGGTCTTCGGTTCTCGGCTCCAGTTGTGAGGCTGAGATCTACGCCGGGGCCATGGCTGCACAGGAGCTTCGCTGGCTCACCTACCTGCTGACTGACCTTGGAGAGCCGCCTCGTTCTCCTCCAGTGCTGTACGTAGACAACAAGGCCATGCTGGCCTTGTGTCGAGAGCAGCGCTTGGAGCACAGAACGAAGCACATTGCTCTCCGCTACTTCCTTGCTCGTGAGCTGCAGCAGCGTGGTCAGTTGCGACTTGCGTACGTGGCCTCTGAGGCCAACACTGCTGATGTGTTCACCAAGGCACTCGCGCCTTGTGACCATCAGCGCTTTTGCACCCAGCTGGGTCTTGTGCCTGTCTTGCCTCACTTGCTCTCTTCTTGACTTTACTTGTACTTTGACATATATATACCTGCTCTTGCTTGTCTAGTTTTATATATATGTCTGTACTCCTGCATGTGAACTGGCCTCTGGCCCTGCTCTTGTGCTCGGACTGTGTGGTGACTTTGTGATCCACCCTGAGCTTGCTTTGCTTTGCTTTGCTTGACTGGTCTTGTGACCCCTTGTTCTCCCCCACTTTGCCTATAGGGGTGTGTCAGATTATTATAGCTGATGCATGTTTGTAGGCTATAGTGGGGTAGCACATATGGGGTACAGCTTTCTAGGGTTGTATTTGTACCCAACTTTGACTTGGTCATTTCATTCCTGTTTTCCTTGCTTGACAGTCAGCTCACGCCTTGCTGCAGTGAGCTCACGCCTTGCTACGGCAGCCCGCTTGCTCCTCTGCCGGTGCCTTGCTGCAACTCTCTGGCTCCTTGTAGCATGGTGATGCCCAGCTCGTTGCACCAATGCACCTTGCTCGCTGGAGCCTTGCTGCATACCAGTGTGGTGTGCGTGACCCCAGGGGATCTATGCTTCAAACCACGATTGTGAGTCGTAAAATTCGGTTTCCTTTTGTACTTATCATATTTCAGCCCATACTTGTTTTTCAAGTTCCATTTCACAATCAAGTGCGTGCTCGTAATTGAATACTTCACTCCGTTTTCCGGGCAATTCATTTTCTACTTGACCTGTTTGTTTTGCAGGGTGTGTGAGACGCGTCGTGGGGAGCATTGAGGGGAATTCGAGAGAGAAGACAGTGTGGAAAAGGGTGGGAGGAGATTTTGATGGTAGAGGAAGGAAGGCAGAAAGGGGGAGGAAGTGGGAACAAGGTAGCAGTGATTGATAATAATTAACTTATTGCAACTCTTTGTTATGCTTGTCTGCTTTAAATCCTATTTGTGTATACGTGTGTGTTTGTGCGGGTGTGTTTGTGCGGGTGTGTGTTCATGTCTTCTGGTTATGTTTGTTTCACTGTGGGGTTGCGTGGTTTGTCGGTTAACGTATGTGGGTTGAACGTTTGTTACGTGTATTTGCATTCGTGTTTGCATTCGTATTTGTGGGATGTGTGTTTCAAAGTGTGGTGTTAATATGTGTCATGCATGCAATTAGAGGTTGTTAATCGTCTTTGGGGCAGCGTGTTTTCGCTGTTTCAACGACCCCATCAACCTTTGTTGTTGCATGGTGCATTTTAACATTCACTTTGTAGCATCCATCTACATTTCATACTTTGTTGTTCATCTGTACAATCATGTTGAAGCCAGAATATTATGCTCGGCCGTACCATCCGCCGTATCAATCGACGATGCTGGGACGGTCGAACAAGTTCATGGTTTCAACATGATACGCACGTGTATAGTATTTGGTTTCACATTTAGGGATATCATTCAAGAGTAGCTTTTATTTATTCTTTGAGGCATCCGTTTGAACACAGTTTCAGAAAGTTAAAACAGTTGCTCCAAAGAGTGCATGGAAAATCACAGTTGAAATGATATCCCCAAAATGTGAAACCTAATATAAAGGGTTGCTATGCAACCAAAAAAAAAACCCATACGTTTAGAATTTGTGATCTTCAAAAAAAAAACTACAAAACTGCTCTTCTAGACAAGCATAGAGAGCCTATGAAGTAAAATTGCGAATACAGCCATATCTGTGACAGTTTCTCGCCGTTTCTCCACTATCGTACGGTTTGTCATCGACTAAGCACAAGCTGACAGGGCAAATGATGCCATCTCGCAAAACGTACACGAAACCCCTCATGTGTGCACGCGCGCCATGTGCACATGCTTCCAAAGTCCTCGTTTCATCTCTACCGTTTCTAGCCTTCAAGCAACTCGACTGTTCCGCTCGGTGCGCAGGTACAATACAGTTAAATTGTGATTGAGACCCATCGCCTTCCTTCATTGCCAATGTTATGTAAGCGTCGGATTGTGTCAGAGCCTTTTTTGTCAGAGCCTATTTGCTGTTGCTTCTGATCATGGCTTATGCTGAAGCTAAGCCACAATATACTACACAACATTGCCATACAGTTATGACTGATGATGTGTGCATGCCATGTAATACATCTACACACAAAAACACAACATTGCCAAAACCATTTTTCCAGAGACAGTATTGTTGACGAAATTCTCACGGATGTGACTGCAGGGCTGTAGAGGTCGGACAGTAAGCGTCCAAGAGTCTTGCCCAAGGTTTGTTGCGAAAGATTGTGCTGTGTTTATGAGCATGCAGTGCCCGGTGTAGCGACTTTCCCTGGCCCCCATGAAGGAAAATTGCACGGGAGAAATGGACGTCGGACAGAGTTTCTGGTGGCACCGTTGTTGGGCAGACCCGGAATTGTTGCGACAAATTGCGATTGCCTCGAAGCCAGACAGCACGACAGCTCACTGGATTTGCGGTTTCCTTCGGTTTCTTCAGACCCTTCCACAGTCCGCCAGCTAGCAGCCAAGCACTCCCCCCGACGGGAACAGAAAACCCGCTTGCGCGCACTCGCGCGTAACACATCTCCCGTCGACCCCGCTCCCTTCCCAACCCCCTCACAGAGCACAAACCAAATCCACCCGGGCTTCACCTCTCCGCGATTCAACGCGCCTTCCCCGGCGCTGGCTCACCCATCCACCCAACCGACCCGCACCGTGGTGAGTCCGTGCCGGTGTGACCCGTCCCTTCCTTGCTTTTCCGCCCCGCACATTTCTCCTCCCAGCCAAGCCTTCCGCCGCAGCTTCCTCGTGCTCGAGTTTCACTGCCTTCTCTTCCCCTGCCGGTTCGCTGCCGGAATGAAGAAATGAAGGTGCGATTTCTTGCCCGCAGCCGTCTGTAACGAACGACGCTAGAACCGTGTGGCTTGGCTTGGATGGGTATGGTTGAGCTCCGCTCTGCAGCTTCCCTCCACCGTAGCTTTCCCCGTTGCACGGCACGGACAAAACCACCCCACATTCCCCACCGCGCCTTTCAATTTCAAGCCCCTTCCCCCGAGCTCGCTCGCTCATCACAAGCAAGGCAGCTGGTGCTGGTGCGAGGTTGCTGCTTGCTCCAGCCAGCCAGCCCCCCGCCAGAGGGCAGTGCAGCACGGCATGCGTGCTCCAACAGTAACTGACGAAATCATTCATCCACACAGTTACGTTTTGAATTCGGGACAAGAATCACATCACAAGGTGACTGGCTGGCATATTTAGTAGCCTCCAATCCTACCAGGCTCCACAGTCGAAGACGGCTCTCTTACTTTATTCATTCCACATCACAAACCCAAGCCAGAAATCCTTCTTTCAGTAAATTCTAGCAGCTAGCAGCAGCTTCGTAAACTCAGCGTTTGCATCGTTTCACATTCATCTATCATGGCTCCAAGGATGCCTGCGCACGACTCGCCTATCGCAGCACCGATTGACGAGTTCAGTTTTATCTTCGACCTAATGGACCGAGATCGCGACGGTCGCATTTCCGCAACAGAGCTCGCATCAGTCCTGGAGAGCCTGGGAGAGGAGCGAGTGGAGGAAACGGTTCAAGCTATGATGAGCCAAGCCGACACTGACGGCGACGGCTACGTCGATTTTGACGAATTCATCCGCGTTAGTAGCCACTCTTCATGGACGTCGTCTCTTTTTGAGGCGTCTCCCAAATCGACATTATCCGCGTCCCTCGCGTCCGATTGCGAATCAGCGGCCGAAGCGTTCTGCTGCAGAGGGTCCGACGGTCCGTCGATCGACGACCTTGCAGCGGCTTTCGAGTTGTTCGACCGGAATAAGGACGGCTTTATCACAGCGGAGGAGTTAAGCGAAGTGATGGGGGGGATCTGGGAGGACGAGGACATGTCGCTGGAAGAATGCGAGAGAATGATCCGGAGCGTCGATCTTGATGGTGATGGACGGCTGTGCTTCAGCGAGTTTGTGGATATGATGCTGGCGTCAGGGTCGTGGCCGCAAGCCGAGCTGTCGCCATGCCAAACGGAGCAACGGAACGTGAGGGCGAAGGCAGGGATCGTGTTCTAAGGAGGATCGCACTCATCATAATTCTCGCTGGGTCAACTGCAGGACGAGCCTTTATGGCTTTAGAAACTAGAAACTATGCTTGCTGAGGTTCCCCATGTGTACATAATTATCCGCATCAATATATCAATTCTTCGTTATTAGTTCTTCATTCACGCTGAGCTATGCAGGAAATTATGTTCCTTCATTGTTATAAACACTAACCTCAAGCAACCCATGAAGGTGTAGATGTAGTTCCAATGTTCACTCAAGCTTTGCGCACAAGAGCACTTTGACAGGCGGAATGACGTGGAGTTGACATTCCCGCCACGTCCGCCAACACGAAGAACCAGTCGAAGCAGCGCGATGGCATTACCCAGGCCCGCCAAAATCCCAAACTAGCCAATGCGAACCCGCCAGAGCGTGCCATGCCTGATCCCCAAGCCTTGGAACGGCCACGTTACAAAAATTCCGATTGGCAGGCAATTATTTTCTGCTAAGCTCAACAAATCCATCTTGGCCAAGTACGCAAAGCGTCAGCCCTGGGAGCTCCAAATGTCCCCCCACTCACATATTCATCTGTGAGAACCTCGCCTCATTTCTACTACCATTCCATTCCCATGTCATCCTGATTACAATCCTGATCAGGACGATTTTCCCAAGTAATCGTTTTCCGTGGTTAGTTTAGTCGCGAAACTGTTGGGTATATCGTTCTCACGAGATTTTGACGGGCGAACTCACGCGCCCTGGCTCCTGAACAATAATAACGTCCTTGTTCACCTTTCATGCTTCGACACTTCGACATTTCCTGATCTGGCTATGACTCCACCAGCGTCAACACGTCGTTGCACTGGCGAAGGTTGTTAACGGCAGTGTCGCTCGCAGGAAAGGATATAGATGAGCGTCTCATTTCCTTTCTTCCGTCCGTTGCGGGCTGGGAAAAGCAGTCATGCTGACTTCAACTTCCCAGCCTGGCCACGCAGCCCAATGCAGCTCACTGATCAATAACACATCGACGCATTCGCGCCAAACCGGAAGAACGGGGAATGATTCTAACTACCTCTCCAGAAATAGCTTCAGGAGGATTCTTTCGTCGTCCGGATGTTTCTCCGGCGCTGCGCTTGGCCTCCCTCCTCTACCTCCCCGTTCGAGAGTGCTTGAGAGACTACACGCCTGCAGGATAGGTAGCGATCCCATCATACCACGATCGTTAAGTAGCAGCGCAAGCACTGGTGGCTTTCACGACTTCCAAAGTAGCTCTGCTCGTACCCAGGAACCATATTGCAATAACCCCCCGAATCGCTTAAACCAGGGGCTGTATCAGCAATGGGAGGGCAGATCAGACATCCGCAGATCAGACGTCAGCAGATCAGTACAATGCCGAGCCGGGTCAGGTCCGCACAGAAGACCACGACGACAGTTTCCCTCAACCCCTTCTCACAGCACCGTTCCCAACTCCTCTAATCCTCCTTCAAACCCGTATGGTATCCAGCAACCGCCTTCTACTCCTTTCAGTGGAAGACCAGAGTCCCCGGCTAGAAGACACAGGAGACGGGAGCAATGGCGCACGCGATTAGCCTGGTGGGATAACCTATTCTCAAGGCGCCCTCCCGAACCTCCCCCGGGTTGGCCCGGTGTTCCGGACGAGCCTCAGGGGGGCCCACCGGGGGATCCGCGGAGGCGGAGTCGGAGAGCGGAGGGGGAACCAGGCACGCGGAGAGGCGGAAGCGGAGGGCCAGGCGGAGGGGAACCTGGCACGCGGAGAGGCGGAAGCGGAGGGTTAGGAGGATGGGATACTGGCACGCGGAGAGGCGGAGGCGGTGGGCCAGGCGGAGGGGAATCAGGCACGCGGAGAGGCGGAAGCGGAGGCGGAGAAGCAGGGAGAACGGGCAGCAGTAACAGAGGCGGCTTTAGCGCCAGCGGTGGGGGCCCGAAAATCGAAGCTCCAGGGTTCAAGGGATCTGGGTGGGGTGGCACGGGATCAGGCTCGGTTTTCGGAAAGGGGTTCGGGCAAACAGGTCCGGGGACGTCCGGAAGCAGTTCTGGTCCCGGCGAGCCCGGCGCGCCGCTGCCACGTTGGCAGAAACGTCAGATAGTAGGCGGCCCGGACGACGACATAGACGCCATGCTGGCCGATCCCGAGCGATTCGAGCGGTGGCAAACGTCCCGGGAATTACGGGGGATACAATTGGCAGGGGAGGATCCTGATGATCGGCAGTGGGAAGATTGGATAGATGATCCGTCGGAGTATGATTATGAGAATGGTGGGTGGTATGAGCCTCAGCCGGACTGGGAGAAGGGCGGGATGCCGCGAGAGGCGCCGGATATCCCGGAGAGAGGCATGAGCCGGTCGTTTAAGGAGCTGCTGCTGCGGATCTTTAAGCCGCAGGACGAGGTGGAGGAGAGCTTGACGTTCGAGGAAAGGGTGTTCCGATACACGTCTCAGACCACGGTGAGGGGGAGATGGCATTTGGGGGAGCAGTTGAGGATAAGGGACTGTTGAAGGCGAGGGGCAGACTTTGGTATTGACAGTAAGGGGCGGATGGGTTTGAGGGGCAGATGACAGTGAGGGGCAGGTAAGTGTGGGAATAATGAAGGGAGCGCAATACGTGACACAGGAATAAAGGAGAAACACATAGGAAAGATAAGCCCTTCCGTTGTCCCTCCCCCTCCCTCTCCTTTATTCCTTTCTGCCTCCCTCTCCTGTTTCTCATCTTGCAGGCCAAGTTTGTCATTTTCCTCATTGCGGTGCCATGGGCGTGCAGCTGGGTACTGCATGACTACATCCTCACGCCCTTCATGCACCAGTGCGTATCAAAACTGCACACCAGTGCGAATCAAATCTGCACACCAGTGCGTATGAAATCTGCACACCAGTGCGAATCAAATCTGCACACCAGTGCGTATGAAATCTGCACACCAGTGCGTATCAAATCTGCACACCAGTGCGCGTCAAATCTGCAAATCAGTGCATATCAAATTTGCACACCAGTGCGTGTCAAATCTGCACACACAAAATAAGGGTTCAGGACTGGAGCACTGGATTTTTCTGAGCCATTCATTGAGTGATGAAGGGACTGAATGCTTCATACCCACGCCAGTAAAATTTATGCTCACTGTCATGCAAGTGGACTTGCAACGAGGGGACCACGGACATTAGAAGTAAACTTAAAAGTGAATTTAAGCACACACCGGAGCGATTGTGAGGCTCAAGAAGTTGCAAACTTGAATGCTTGCAACCCGGAACACTAGCTGGATCCCTCTTGGCGTATCTCCCAAATTCATCTGACCCACGAAGCATCCCCCTAGCATCTGTTGGAGTGAGAGCGTCCCGTTTTTCATTCCCAACTCTTTCTTTCCCAACTTCTGAATTTCTCCCCCCAGCTACGCACACACCACCCCGTTGCTAGCGCGCATGCTGGACCTGAGGGAGGAGCAGAAGCAGAGGGCTCAACCTCTTTCCACCCATCCCAACCATCTCGTCCCCCCCACAGCTACACACACACCACCCCGCTGATAGCGCGCATGCTCAGCTTAAGGGAGGAGCAGAAGCTCAACATGATTGAGCGCCTCACCCTCGAGAGGCAGCGCTTTGAGGGTTGCACCTTAAAATATTATGTCACCTGGATTCACCCTCCTTTAACCCATCCCAACCACTTGCTTCCACCCCAGCTATGCACACACCACCCCTTTGGTAGCGCGCATGCTGGACTTAAGGGAGGAGCAGAAGCTCAACATGATTGAGCGCCTCACCCTCGAGAGGCAGCGCTTTGAGGGTTGCACCTTAAAATATTATGTCACCTGGATTCACCCTCCTTTAACCCATCCCAACCACTTGCTTCCACCCCAGCTATGCACACACCACCCCTTTGGTAGCGCGCATGCTGGACTTAAGGGAGGAGCAGAAGCTCAACATGATTGAGCGCCTCAAGCTCGAGAGGCAGCGCATTCGCTTCGAGGCGGACATTGGGAAGGCGCCTCCACTGTCTGAAGACGGATTGGCGGCCTACCTGCAGGAGGAAGCGTGCGTGGTGGGGGCTTGGGGTGTGGGGTGTTGGAAGGGTGTGGGGTTTGGCAATGTTTAGGGGTGTGGGCATGGTTTTTGGCAGGTTGTGGAGTGGGTCCTAAAATTGGGGCAGACATTTGGAAGGCACCTCTCTTGTCGAAATATGGATTGGCGGCTTACCTGCAGGAGGAAGCATGAGTGGCGGGCAAGATTTGGGGTTTGCCGGGTTTCGGGTTGAGATGGGGTTGGTGTTTGGACCTGATATTGTTCATCTTTGCACCTTCGCATCCCCATCCCTCAGCCTTCAACCCTAAAATCTTTAACCCTGTTAAACCCCCTTAAACCCTGTCCAACACTGTCAAATTCCCCAGGCGTGAGATGCGGGAGGAGATTCGGCACGAGAACGAGGCCGCTTTCGCATACATCTTCTCAGACACAGTGGGGTGGCTCATATTCGCATTCATCCTGTACGCAAATCCAAGCCAAGTGGGCATCATGAAGCTCACGGGCGATCGCATCTTCACGAATATTTCAGATACGGGCAAGGCGTTTGTCATCATCCTCTGCTCTGACATCTTCCTGGGGTGAGTGGTGTGGGAGGGGGAGAGTGAGAGGAGGGGGGATCAGTAACAGGGGAGAGGGGCGAGGGGGAGGGGCGAGTGGTTCACCAATATCTCAGACACTGGCAAGGCGTTTGTGATCATCCTCTGCTCTGACTTCCTCCTGGGGTGCGTCCTGGGGGGGAGGGGGAGAGTGAGAGGAGGGGGAACCAGGAAAAGGGGAGAGGGGCGAGGGGGAGGGGCGAGTGGTTCACCAATATCTCAGACACTGGCAAGGCGTTTGTGATCATCCTCTGCTCCGACTTCCTCCTGGGGTGCGTCCTGGGGGGGAGGGGGAGAGTGAGAGGAGGGGGAACCAGGAAAAGGGGAGAGGGGGCGAGTGGTTCACCAACGTCTCAGACACTGGCAAGGCGTTTGTCATCATCCTCTGCTTTGACATCCTCCTGGGGTGAGTCTGGGGGGAGGGGGAGCGGGGGAGAGGGGAAGAGGCAAGGCGTTTGTGATCATCCTCTGCTCTGACATCCTCCTGGGGTGCGTCCTGGGGGGGGAGGGGGAGAGGGGGGACGGGGGAGGGTTTGCGCTTGTCATCATCCCCTGCTCTGACAAGTTCCTGGGTTGGAGTTCCAAAAAGGACTTCTGAGGCGCTTAAGAAACTGTCTTGGAATGATTGTTGGGACAGAATGATGCTGATTGCAAGTGGCTCCCTGCTCTCCCCTTTTTCCCCTTGTTCCCCTCTCGTCCTGTGCAATGCAAACACCATTCCAAGTCCGGGTGGGAGACAGACGAAGGTGGAGATGTTTCCCGAGTCCCAACCATTACGGCCTGGTTCCGGAACATTCTGTATGCTCCTTGCAAATGCCATCCATATGCCCCTTTCTCGACTGACCTCCTCTCCTCCTGTGCAGGTACCACTCAGAGTCGGGGTGGGAGACGGTGGTGGAGATGTTTCTCGACCATTACGGGCTCGTGGCGGATCAGAGCCCCATCTACATCTCCTCAAACCGCACTGCCATCCTTGTGACCACTGCTTATCCCCCTTGAATCATGCAGGTGCCAATCGGAGTCGGGCTGGGAGACGGTGGTGGAGATGTTTCTCGACCACTACGGGCTCGTGGCAGATCAGAGTCTTAGCTAAATTTTCCCACATCTCCTTGCTGACCTTATGACTTGTACTCGTACCTTCTGTGTCTCTCCAGGTACCACTCAGAGTCGGGCTGGGAGACGGTGGTGGAGATGTTTCTGGATCACTACGGGCTCGTGGCGGATCAGAATTCAATCTACATCTTTGTGGCCATCGTGCCCGTCACCATCGACTCTTTTTTCAAGCTCTGGGTATGAGCCATGTGTTTTACGAGTGCATTCATAGGTTCATTGTGTCTAGCCGTATCCAGCTGCATGTGGCCATCGTGCCCGTCACCATCGACTCCTTCAAGCTTTGGGTAAGACTCATCTGCTCTCACGCTCAAACTGTACATTCACTGAATCTAGCCACTTTGAATAAGTGTGTGGCCATTGTGCCCGTCACCATCAACTCCTTCAAGCTCAGGGTACGGTTCATGTCTTTTGAAGCGCTATGCATTTTATCATTTGTTGGTTGAATCTGGCCGTATCCACCTGAACCGCTTTCAATCGTCTGCTCTTTCTGCCTCTCACTCTGTCATATGTTCTTTCGCATACCTTTTTTCCCTTCTTTTCTCTTGCTTTCCTGCTCTCCTCTCCCAACCCCAGCCTCACAGGTGTTCAAGTACCTCGTGCGGCTCTCTCTCTCTGCTGCTCATACCCTTTCTTTCCTTGCTCTTCTGTTTCCAATCCAAACCTCAACCCACCAGGTGTTCAAGTACCTCGTGCGTCTCTCCCCCTCTGCTGCTGCCACTTTCCGCGAAATGAAGCGACACTAGGCTTTCCGCGAAATGAAGCGACACTAGGCTTGCCACTGCTGCCAATCCTGCTGCTAGTCCTGCCGCGGCTGCTTATTCTGCTGCTAGCTGTGCTGCTAGCTGTGCTGCCCTTGGCACACACCCTGCTGCTGTTCCCACTGCTGCCTCCAATGCTACTGCTGGTTCTGCTGCTGCTCCCTCTAAGCCCTCTGGCTTATCCCTCTAATTCGTTGCTTCTGCAGCAGCTGCCCCACTAGAGTCAGCTTGTGCACCTCTGTGCCCTTAGTCCTGTAGCCTGCTCTCCGCTGCCATGCTACCTCAATTATATGCGTAGCCTTATGCCCATGCGCATTCCTCGTCATGTGCTATCATTGCTGTATCCATTCCTTTAATGGCAGGTTCGCTGTAATTTTTGTCACAGCTACCACTTGTGTTTTGATGGTGGTACAGGTTATGTTTCAATGTTATTACACGTCATGTAAACCAATGCGATTGTGTGATGGATCGATGGCATCATTCTCAATACAAGAACGTGAAATATCTCAATACAGTCCGACGCCCTCCAATCGTTATCCGTCGTGCTGCCCGACCAATCGACCAGAGCCAATCATGTCCGTTCGCGCCGCTTTTGTGCCCCACATCCACCACCTACCCCCACTTTCCCCACTCGCAGGATTGCTTTTTCCAGGTTCTGCAGCATCCAACGAAATGACAAGATCGTGAACCCAATTTTATATGGTACACGCATATATTCGCCGCAGAACCTTTTACAACCGTTTTTTTATTTGAACAAACCATATACAACCGCGGGAAATCATACAGCTCTTGCTGAGTCGGAGACAGCGATTCCCTATGCTCAGCAAACCATTCCCTATGTCTGCTGTGCCATTCCCCATACCATCCACTTGTCCATCGTCTCCCTTGTTCGCTGGCGGACACTTCTAAGGAGGCAACTAGAGATTCAGGCCTACTGGCGCATCGCGATACGTCCTCTGAAACGAGTCTGCTGATGCAGCAGCGCGTCGGCTTGTGTTCCCGCGTCGTCGATGTGTCGAGGAACGAGGCGTTTCTCAAAACGCTGCTGCTTTAGTACCTCATTGTCGCGATGAGCCAGTAGTCCTACACACGTCTTTTTGGTTCTTAGTTTATTATTATAGCTAAGCTCCAATAAGCCTCAGTATTCCGATGCGTTCCCAGGAAGCCACATCGAAGGATACGTTTGAGGGACACAGCCGCAAGCGACAACGGCATCGCAGCGGCAAGAAAACTTTCTCGTCGTGCTAACTTATCGCGGCGCCGTTGGTGTGCTTTAACTTTGTGTGATTTGTTTTTTTGGGGAAGGATTTCCGCGTACCCCGTTCTCCGGCATGGCGACGCAAACACACCTCCGCCTGCATCCCCCGCCTCTCCGCCGCTCCGCTCAGCCCATGGCGACGACCACACAGCAAAGCCATCCGGGAATGGTCGCAAGAACCCAGTACATCCCAACTGCAGCAAGCGAGCACTGCAGTTGCTACGCCGTGTCGCTCACATCTGATCTACTTCCAAGACCATTCCCCATACCACCTTCCGCTCCTTCCTGCGGAATGTCCCTCCGGCTGTCCCCTAGAATATCCCCTAAAGTATCCTGTAGCCTCTCCCCCAGACTCTTCCCTAGACTCTCCCAAGACCTTTCCCCTGCACTTTCCTCCAAACACGCGGCAATAACTGATAATGGCTGGAGCGCGACTGGGAACTTGTCTGAGTTATCGTTCCAGAAGCGAGAACGCTCGAGCGTGGTTCCGCGCGCCGCGAACAACGGTAACATTGCCGGTCCCGCGGCGCGGGAGGTTGATTCAATTCGGAAGGAGATCTCGGATCTGATCACATCCATCCAATGGCTGCAGAAGAAGATCAACTCGGACGGCCGTCAGACGGCGAACGGTAACTTCGACGGTGACGGGACGCAGGTGCACACAGTGTACGGGTCGAACCTGCGACCGGCGACGGAGATTCGCGGTCGCATTGAGCGACTATTGGAGCGAGCCGTGTCGCTCAAAGCCATGGCGGGCCGAAGCTCCTCAAGCTCGCGACGCGTGCCAGTACAAGTGACGGCCACTCTTAAAGTAAGTCGTCAAGTCGTATCTCGTTCGTTTTAAGCCATGTAAACTTCAGCTGAAGGCTGTGCTGGGACGAAGCTCCTCAAGCACCGCACTTCGCCCCTTCTCACCCCCTTCTCACCCGTTCTCACCACTTATCACCCCTCCTCACCCCTCCCCCTCCCACCAGTCACTGCAGCGCTAGTACGGCTCGCTGTACAACATCGTGCTTCTCTCCATCCATCCCTCTTCCCCACCCATTCCCACCCCTTGTAACTCCATTCCGCCCCTTCTCGCCCCATTCCACCCCTTCTCACCCTTTCCCACTCCCCAGTCCCTGCAGCGCGAGTACGGCTCGCTGTACAACATCGTGCGTCTCTCCATCCGCACGGACCTGCCAGACACGCCGCCATCCGGCCCCTTGTCACTCCTTGTCACCCCTTGTCACCCCTCTCTACCAGTCTCTACAGCGTGAGTACGGCTCGCTGTACAACATCGTGCTCCTCTTCCTCCGCACGGACCTGCCAGACATGCCGCCATCCGCCCTCTACCCCACCCATTCTCACCCCTTTTCACCCCTTTCCACCCCTTCTCACCCCTTCGCACCCCTTCTTTCCCCTCTCAGTCTCTACAGCGCGAGTACGGCTCGCTGTACAACATCGTGCGTCTCTCCATCCGCACTGATCTCCCAGACATGCCGCCGTCCGGCCTCTTTGATGACCCTATGGATGACCCTGCCGAGACGCTCGCAGCACAAGCTGCAGCGGACGCGGCAGCAGGGGGTTCGGAGGAAGGGGTTGAGGCGGCAGGGCGGCCGTTGGATGCTGCTCTCGCATACTCGTACGATGCCCAGAGGGACTCTGCTGCTGCGCTGGGTTCGATGCTGGAGATCCAACAGAGGGTGCAGCAACAGGTGCGTGGTGTGTAGGTGTGTGAATGGTGGCAGATGTTATCCGCCATGAGTGCTGCTGGGTCCACCCACGGTACTCACGCCACCTCCCCACACGCACGACCTCCACAGCATGCCATCAAATCTCAAAAGATTCTCAAAAGAATCTCACGTATCCCCTTCAATCTCATTTGCCCTCGCTCCCCTCCCTCCACAGATATCAGCCATGAGTGCTGCTGGGTCCGCCAACGCACTGAACTCCACGTCCCTAGAACAACCAACAACCTCCTCCAACCCCCCAGCACATGAATCCTCCACAGTTGTAAACCCCCATCATTTTCATCCATCCCCTCTCCCCTCCCTCCACAGATATCAGCCATGAGTGCTGCAGGGTCCGCCCTCGGACCTCACTCCACCTCCCCATCGCAACCAACCGCCTCCAACCCCTCCAACCCTTCAGCACATTCCTCCCAGCCGGCAATACCATCCTCTACAGCCGCTACAGCCACTTCAGCCGCAGCAGCGGCGTCTGTAGCGGCAGCAGGCGGCGGCAGCAGCCCCTTTGCGAGCCTGTGGAAGAACATGGCGTCTCAACTCTCCCGCGCTTTTGAAACGCTGCTGCCCGCCTCCTCCCCTCAGCTCATGATGCTCCCCTGATCTCCTCCCCACCCTTCCCCCTCCCTCCACAGATATCAGCCATGAGTGCTGCAGGTGCCGGGTCCCCCCTCGGACCTCACACCCCCTCCCAAACACAACCAACCGCCTCCAACCCCGCAGCACATTCCTCCCAGCCGGCAATACCATCCGCCACAACCGCCACAGCCGCTACAGCGGCGTCTGTAGCGGCAGCAGGCGGCGGCAGCAGCCCCTTTGCGAGCCTGTGGAAGAACATGGCGTCTCAACTCTCGCGCGCGTTTGAAACGCTGCTGCCCCCCCCCTCGCCTGATGATCCTCCCCTGGGAGTAAGCACTGGGGCTGGGGGGATAGCTGCTCAGACAGCAGCAGGAGCAGCAGGGGTGGCTGCGGCGGCAGGAGCGGCAGGGATAGAAGCAGGGGCAGCAGCGGCGGCTCTGGCAGGGATTGGAGGAGGTGCAGTAGCAGGAGCAGGAGGGGTGGGGTTGGTTGTGGGTGAGAGCGGAGTGGCCGCAGTGGAGGAGGCGTGGGGGGGAAACGTGCAGTCTGGGAGCAGCGGCGTCATTGACATCACTGTATGTGCTTCTCCTGCCGCTTTCTCTGCTGCTCCCTCTACCCCTCCCTCTGCCTCCTCCTCTGTCGCGCCCTTGTATCTCACCCACTCCCCCCCCACCCCCCTTCCCCCCCCTCCCCTTTTCGCCTCTTCCTCACTTTTTTGCTTTCCCTCTACATGTGACGATCGTTTGTCTACAGCCCTCACACTCTCCCCTTTTTTCCTCGCTCTCCCTCCTCTTTCCCCCCTTTTCCCCCCACTGCACGCCACCTGCAGCCGCAAGCCCCCCTGGCAGGCGCGCAGAGCAGCCTGGTGCGGCTGGCAGGGGAGGTGCGATCTAACGACGCTCTTATCTCGTCCGTCAACCGTGAAATGGAGGAGGAGCGGCAGCGGCTGCTGAACAAGGTACTGTGGGAGGAGAGGAAGGGAACAAGAATAGCTTGGGCCTGTCAGAAAAGGGAGGAAGGGGAGGGAGGTGCGATCTAACGACGCGCTTATCTCGTCAGACAACCGTGAGATGGAGGAGGAGCGGCAGCGGCTGCTGAACAAGGTAGTGTAGACATGGTAACATGGTAACCTGAGAGAAACTGAGGCTGGTACCATTGTAACCAACGGAGGCTGGTAATGTGGTAACCTGAGAGGAACAGAGGCTGCTACCATGGTAACTTGATAAGGTAGTGTAACCTGGTAACATGGCAACTAGGTGCAATCGGAGGTGCAACAGCGAGTGGCGGTGGGGGATATGTAGGCAGTGGTGGTGGTGGTGGTGGGGGCTCATTCTTGATCCATGTTCTTGCTCTCCGCTCTTGTTCCCCCCATCCCACCCCCCCAATTTCATGCCACCGTGCAGACGCAATCGGTGGCAAAAGTGCAATCGGAGGTGCAGCAGCGAGTGACAGTGGGGGATTTGGAGGTCGTGGTGGGTGCAGAAGACTTCGCTCTGTCCCTTGCTCATCCTGTCCCATCCCACCACACTCCACCCCACCGCACCCCACCCCTCCATGTAGGCGCAATCAGTGGCACAGAAGGTGCAGCAACGAGTAACGGTGGGGGATATGGAGGCCGTGGTGGGGGACAGCTGACCTCTCTGTCTCACCCTACCCCACCCCACCGCATTACACCCTATCCAACTCCACCGTACAGGCGCAATCAGTGGCACAGGAGGTGCAGCAGCGAGTGACAGTGGGGGATATGGAGACCGTGGTGGGTGCAGCGGTAGAGACAATGCAATCGGAACTCCAGGCAGCACAGCAGCGCACTCGCCAGCTGCTTATACAGGTGCGTGCCTCTCACAGTCACATCGATGTATTGTCACACTTTTGACTCAAGTCTCCTCTCAGTGTAATTGCACATGTGTTCTATGTTACCAGAGCTCCAGGCAGCGCAGCAGCGCACTTACCAGCTGCTCATACAGGCGATGCTTTCACGATCAGTTTCCTTAAGTTTTGCATTCCTTGGAAGCACAAACAGTTGTAGGCAACGCAGCAGCGCACTCGCCACCTGCTCATACACGTGTGTAGCTCTCACTGTTACCTTGGTTTACTCTCACCTCACCCACATTTGAGTCTGGTTTTAAGGCGCCTCAATGGTAGGCTTCAACACACGTGAGTCAGCTCCTTTCGGCTGGAGCTGAAGGATCAAGTTTTTTAGGCGCCTCAAAAACAAATTCTGATGCCGAACAAATGCTGGAGCTTCCGTGTCTGCTAATAATGGTGCTGCAGGTGGAGCTTTTGCGAATTCTCAAAAGTAATAATGGTTCTGCAGGTGGAGCTGGAGCGGGAGATGCAGCTGTGGCGCGAGGAGTGGGAGAAGGAACGGTTTTTGAGACGCATCACAGATTTTTGTTACTGCTGCTGCCCTGTTCTAAGCCAATACGTCTTTACTCTGATTTGTACATGCTGCTGCAGGTGGAACTGAAGGACCGGGAGATGAGGCTGAGGCGCGAGGAGTGGGAGAAGGAACGGTCTTCCATGGTGGCTTCCCTGCAGCAGCTCGTACTCGCTAAAGGCGGATCCGTTACCAGCAGCAGCAGCAGCAGCAGCAGCCTTGAGCATGGGGATGGGCACGATAGAAACGGATCCAGTGGTGTTGATACCAGCAGCAGCGCTCGAAGCAGCAATGGCAGGGCCATCCCCACACACTCTTCCTCCTCCTCTTCCTCATCCTCATCCTCCCCTTCGTCATCCTCTCGAAGCAAAGCGCAGCGGTCGTCAGGAGCAGGATCAGGCACAGCAACAGCCACTGCCACTCCTGAGCCAGACAGCACAGGGGACTCTATAATGCGTCTCCTTGCCCTTCAAGCTGCAGTTTCTCGGGCAGAAGAAGCTGAGCTGGCGACTGCCGCCCGGCTGGAGCGCGTCGCTGACGTGCTCGGGCGGGAGATTGCCAAATTGCGGCGCGACAAGCGGGCGCTGGAGTCCCGCGCGCAGCTGCTGACGTGGCGGCTGGAGGCGGTGCATGCCAAGCTGGCGGCGGTGTTTGGGGAGTTGGTGGGGGTGAGGGAGGCGATGAGTGCGGGGAGGGTGGAGGAGGGTATGGCGATTCTTGAAGGTGTGATAGGGGAGGTGGGGAGGTGGACGAGTAATACAGCGATGGAGCAGGGCGGACGGGGAGTGAGAGGAGAGAGAGGAGGGGGAGTGAGTGGGGAGGAGGGTAGGAGGGATGGAGAGGTGGTGGCAGGATGGTGGGACGATTCCCCTCCTGGGGAGTGGGCGGAATTTGGGAAGAGCGAGAATGATTCGGAGAGTGGGGGTGGGACAGATGAGGAGAGGAGGAGGGAGGAGAGGAGGAGGAGGGATGAGTTGATGGCGCTGGTGGGGGTGGATGGGGAGGAGAGCGGGGGCAGTGGGGAAGGGGTGATTACGGTGTTTTATGAGACGGGGTGGGAGCAGGCGTTCATTCACCACAACGGCACGTCATCGGGGTGAGTGAGACGAGCTTCATGGCCAGGTAGGTGGGATCTTTGTCATGGGGAAGGGGTGATCACAGTGTTCTATGTGACTGGTTTGGAGCAGGCATTTTCATTAACCACAACGGCACGTCTTCAAGGTGAGTTAAAGCTTGTTGGTCAACAGACAGGGGGTTTATGCGTGGAAATCCACAACAACCAAACACCACCAGGTTCCAGTGTTCTACGAGTCTGGGGGGGAGCAGGTATACATTCACCACAACGGCACACCTTCAGGGTGAGTCGAGTCTCTTGGTCTCACTCCTGCGCCTCTTCCCCTGTGTGCCCTACAGCTGGACTGCTGTCGCTTGCGTGAGGATGAAGAACTCCACTCCACTGCCAAGGGGCCAGCTGGCTTTCCCACTGCCACAGTCCCTGTTGCCCTGTTGAAAATTCCTCACTTACTGTGCATGTTATATACACCCACCTCTCTTCCCCCCTGTCCCCTCCCCATCGCTCCTGGCAGTTGGACTGCTGTGCTCGGCATGAGGATGAAGAACTCCACTGCCAAGGGGCCGGCTGGCTTTCCTCCGGCCACTGTCCCTGTTGCCCTGCAGATAACTCCTCACCTCTGTCTCTCTCCCCCTGTGCCCTCCTCCTCCTGGCAGTTGGACTGCTGTACCCGGCATGAGGATGAAGGACTCCACTGCCAAGGGGCCGGCTGGCTTTCCCCTCAAGGTGCGTTCCTCGTTGCCTTTGAAGCCTGCAGGCTGCAGCTCACTAGTTCATGCTTGGGCGGATTGCATGTATCAGTGGTGCAACCACTGACACATTTCAAGGGTTGTGCTTTTGAGACATCTCAGCAATGGCTCCTCTGTGTTTGTTGTACTCCCATCCCCTTGCTTCACGTTTTCTCCTGACTTTCTGCGTCTAAGCTCCACTATTTCTTGCTTATGCTCACGTTTTCTGAATGAAATTTCTGTCCCATTTACCCTACCTTTCCCATAGCTCCCGTTTTCTCCCATTTCGTCCCCTTTCCTCCCTTTCTCCCATTCTCCTTTTTTTTCCTCCTCCCCTTGCCTCCCCCTCATTCTCCTTCCTTCCCCTTCCTTTCTCTTACCCTCGGGGTGTTTTCTCTGTCCCCCTTGTTGCTGCAGGTGTACTCCATAAGAGCATCCTCGCTTGAGTTTGTGACCAACAATGGAGCGGCTACATGGGACAGGTGAGGGAGGCCAAGGAGGAAAAGGGGGGGAAGAGGGGAGATGAGGGGGAAGTAGGGGGAGAGGAGAGGAGTGGTGGGAGGAGAGTGGGGAAGAGGGGTGGGGAGATGCTTTTTTTCTAGTGACGGCACTTTGCAAAACATAAGAGTTATGGTGGTCTTGAAGGGGAGTGCAAGGACAATGGTTGTCTCCTGTGCTCCTTTGACCACGCCATTTTTGTGACTCCTTTTATGTGTGCTTTGTCCAGTTCCCCGAGTGGTGGAAACTACACCATCGACCGCCCCGGTTGCTTCGTCCTGTCGTCTGGACGTTTAACAGAGTTCGTTTGAACCCATTTTTTCATTGGGGGTGGTATTTATGAGATTGTGAGATTGTATGTCAGTTTGCTTGTTTGTTTGTGGGTGTCCACTGTTGTCCACTCAACAAATCTGAATGCACAATATATAATGTAGTTGTACCATAGCCAGCAGAAAACGCAATAAAGCGATAATTGGTCGACTTGGCGGAGCGACGAACCAGGTAGAGCAATGTTTTCGCGGGAAACCTCACTCCCTCGCCTCTGACGTGTTCCCACGCGCCCGAGGCAAGGTGCTTTAGGAAGCAGAGCAGGCTTTCCTTGTTCCGAGCCTTCAATGTGGTTCAAAACACACCTAGTGGTCTGGTAGGGTGATGTGGATCTGTATTTTGTTAGGCTGTAGCTTTGAGTAGTTTCTCAGGTTTGGAAATAGGCTCGGCTCGGAGGAGCCAAGGAGGACCATGGTTCACTTCGCTCGCCCCAAGCCAAACTCAATCGTTCCGAGCCTGTGTGCCGTCTTTCGGACCTCGTTCAACCAAGCAAGCAACGCGTTCGCCTAGAATGCATCCATCCCTTGCGTCCGTTCTGCACCTGTCACAGGTGTTCCCAATGTCAGGTGCGTAGGCTGGTGATGTGATCCTGTCAAGTTGAGAACTTGGAAGACAGGATTCCATAAGAGATTAGGGAAGAGGTATCGAGGCCAGATAATAGAGGTTGTTTTAGGGGATTCATAAGCGCGTGCCGTTACTTTGTGGTCGAGGGAGGGGCTCTGCTTTCTTCAGCGGCCGATCCCTAAAAATATATACCGCAACAGCTGCGTAGGGTTATTCAGCAAAAACTAACGTTAGGACACATAGGGTCTTGCGAGCATTGATTTCCTCACATCGTGCTCCTCAGTGACTGTTCGTCACTACAGACTTTCTCGGGTGTTAGTGCCGTTTGTGGTCCAGTTTTATGTTTGTAAAAACGCTGGGAGCTTCTTACGAATCTAACGGCTCGATCTCATAAGCCTCCGGTCGCTGGCAAGTTCTGATCGTGCTAAAATATTGTGACATTCATGGTGCTCCGCGGGCTCGAGCTTAGAATTTCTGGTCCATTTTTCGTGTGTACTTAATGTAATCCTTAGCCCCTGTAGCATTTAGAGTGCTTAGGAGAATCTAGAATCTCTAAGGTATAAGTCGTACTTCATTTCGATATGGCTCGCTCGGAGATCGAGATCGACAGCCTTGTATCCGATTCCAGAGATTTTAGTTCCGCCGGGAATGACCAGAAAGACTCGAACAAACGTCAAGCAGCAGTAGAGCAGCAGCAGCAGCAACAGCAGCAGCAGCAGCGACAACATTCAAATCAAAACCCGAACCAGAACTCGAGCCAGAATCCGAACCAGAATCAGCGGTCGGGAACGGAGCAGGCAGGCGGCGAAGGAGGGGAGGATGATGAGCGGAGCAAAGAGGACGTATACACTGCTGCAGCGTACGGCGACCTGGGGAAGCTGAGACGGCTGGTGGAAGAGGAGGGTCACTCCATCCATGCCACTGATGGCGGCGGATACTCCGCGCTACAGTGGAGCGCGCTTAATAACAAACCCGTTATAGCGACGTACCTTCTCGATGTGAGTAATTAAACGTGAATTTGCAGTCATGTACGTTTTTCTTTGTTCGTATTCGTAGTACAGTCGTGTTTATATCTTTCTTTTGGGGCGACTCGTGAAAGGCCACGCCATTCGCGTTATCATCAGCGTTGGTCACCTGTGTTAATTGGCTCACCTTTTACCTTCCATTTTCTGTTTCCGCGAGCAAAATTCGAACAAGTAATGCGAAAATAACCGGTCTGGTCATTTGGTCTGCGTAGTCCTTGTATGGCTCCCCCACTCCCCCACCCTCCTCCGTTTCACCCTCCACTCGTCCTCTTCACCTCCTTCCCTCCGCTCCTTCCCCACCAAATCCGCCTCCACCACATCCTATCTCCACCAAATCCGCCTCCACCACATCCTACCTCGACCAAATCCGCCTCCACCACATCCTACCTCGACCAAATCCGCCTCCACCACATCCTACCTCGACCAAATCCGCCTCCACCACATCCTACCTCGACCAAATCCGCCTCCACCACATCCTACCTCGACCAAATCCGCCTCCACCACATCCTACCTCGACCAAAACTTCTCCAGAAGGATCGGACGTGAATGTCAAGGATAGATCGAGGCAGGCGGCGCTGCACTGGGTCACAGAGCGGGGTGGCATCGGTGCTTTATCTTCTAACCTGGGTGATACCCTTTCCCTTGCATTGTGATCCGCCCAAACGCAGAAAGGAGCGGACGTGAATGCCAAAGATAGGTCGGGGCAGACGGCGTTGCATTGGGCGGCAGTGCGAGGTGGCATCGCTGTTGCTGACGTGTTGCTGCAACGTGGCGCTGACGTGGAGGTTGCGGATTCACACGGTTACAGGGTAAGTATGCATTGTAACCCTATCCCATAGGGTTACACTTTGCTGGGTTGGTGGTGGTGTGTGTGGGGGGGAAAGGGAGGATGGTGTATGGAGCAAGCGAAAACGTGAAACAAAATCAATCAGCGAAACCTAATATCGAAATAACGGTTCTCTTCTTCTTTTGGCTTTGTTTGGATGATACGGTTCTGTTCATCTGACACTTCCCTTCAGGCGGCCTTTTTTATTACCCTGCCGGTGTACCCTAAGCCATCCTCACCCCTTCAATTGCCAACTTCCTGCTTTTGAGTCGACTCAAAAGTTGATGCGGTTCTGTTCATCTGACACTTCCCATCAGGCGGCCTTCTTTATTACCCTGCCGGTGTGCCCTAAGCCATCCCCACCCGCAGCGAGGTTGTTTTTGAGACGTCTCAAAAACAACCTCGCTGCACATGGTTCATCCGACACTTCCCATCAGGCGGCCTTCTTGATTACCCTGCCGGCGTGCCCTAAGCCATCCCCACCCCTTCAACCACCAACTTCCTTCCCGCCTCAGCTCTCTATCCGTGCAGACCACACACGTGACCTCTGCTCTACTACTGTCAATGTACCCTAAACCCTGCTTCCCCCCTCCCCCCCCTCCCCCTTCCCCTCTTCTCCTCTCCCCCGCCCTTCCCCTCACTCCCTCCCGCCTCGACTCTCTGCCATTCAGACCACACACGTGGCAGCACAGTACGGACAGACGGCGTTCCTATACCACATTGTGGCCTCATGGGGGGCCATGGCTGATGCAAGCTCACTGTCCCTCTCTCCTTTCCCCCCCCCGTCTTTTCCCCCCCTCCCTCCCCCTCCTTTTCTTGCTCTCTACCATTCAGACCACACACGTGGCAGCGCAGTACGGGCAGACGGCGTTCCTATACCACATTGTGGCCCCTTGGCTGATGCAATCCCTGCTTTCTTCCCCTGTACCACTCTCCTGTACCGCCCCTTTCTTGCTCTATACCGTTCAGACCACACACGTAGCAGCGCAGTACGGGCAGACGGCGTTACTATACCACATTGTTGCTACGTGGGGGGCCTTGGCTGATACCACTGACAACGACGGCCGTACCCCGCTGCACTGGTGAGGCTTTGAGGTTTTTAGTTCGGTGTGAGGGTTTGCCATGTTAAGATCATTGGTGAGTTGTTGCACAGGTGTGGCTACATGGGGGGCCTTGGCTGATACCACTGAGAACGACGGCCGCACCCCGCTGCACTGGCGAGGCTTGAGGTCATCATGATGACTGGTGATGGGATGTTAAGATCACAGGTGAGTTGCTGCACATGTGTGTTTTGAGGCGCCTCAAAACAAGGCTTGAGGTCATCAAGATGACGGGTGATGGGATGATAAGATCACTGGTGGGTTGCTGCACATGTGTAGCTACACGGGGGGGCATGGCTGTTGCGACTGACACTGACGTGCGTGCTCGCCTCATCATTCATCCACCCCGTGTTTCAACCCCTCCCAATCCTCTCACAGGGCGGCCTATAAGGGCTTTGCAGACCCCATCCGCCTGCTGCTCTTCTGTGACGCATACCTCTCACGGCCCGACAAGGAGGGGTGCACGCCCCTTCATTGGGCGGCAATCAGGGGTAATTTGGATGCGGTTACCCTATTGGTCCAGGCTGGCAGCAAGGATGATTTGATTGCGACGGACTCCACTGGGAGCATGCCAGCTCAGCTCGCGAGCGACAAGGGGCACCGCCACGTGGCGCTTTTCCTGGTGAGGTGGATGGTGGGACTAGCTGACGTGGCAGTGGCACGTGGTGCTGATTGTGATGATGTGGTTGATAAGGTGGGTGGGGGGCATGGGTTGTTGATTGGCCTTATGTTTGTTGTCACAAGTGCCGCTAAGTTGCTGAAATGTATGCTGTGTACTCTCACTCTCTCCCTCTGTCTCGTTCCTTTTCTGCCTTGTGCTCCCCGCACAGTCGAATGCGCGCAAGGTGTTTGACGCACGGCACGGCACCAAGAGGCTGGCAGGCAAGATGGCGAGATGCTAAGGAAAATACTCGTAATGCCACACACTCCAATACTCTGTCCCTCCATGTCTCTCAATCGTCTCCTTCCCCACAGTCCAATGCGCGCAAGGTGTTTGACGCCCGGCACGACACCAAGGGATTGGCAGGCAAGATGGCGAGATACGGTCTTGCACCTGCGCTCTGGGCGGTCATTATTGGATTACTTATCGGCTTCACCAATGCAGTTGTCTTCTGTGAGTGCTGACTCATGCGTGCTTAGTGCCTACCCCATGCCTGTGTGGTCCTTCCCTGTTGTGTGAAAGGTGTGATACGGGCTCATGGTGACACTCCCTCTTCTCGTCCACTGCTCTCTCCCATGTCGTCCACTCCTCTCGTGTCCCGCCCCCTCCCTCTCTCTTCTCGTCCTCCCTGCTTCCTCGCCCCCCAACCAGCCACCACGCTCCCAGTGCTAACAGCCACCATGGCAGCATGGGAGTGGGCCGTCTTCCTTTGTGCAAGCATGGACTGAACCACTGTGTCCCCTCCCCTCTCCCTCCCCTCTCCCTCATCTCTCCCTCCCCTCTCCCTCACCTCTCCCTCCCCTCTCCCTCGTCTCATCTGCCCTCCCCCTCCTACCAGCCACCACGCTCCCAGTGATAACAGCGACCATGGCAGCATGGGCGTGGGCCGTCTTCATCTGTGCTGGCACCGGCATGTATTTCCTTTACCGCTCCTCCACGTAAGTACCCCCAGCCCTGCCCTCTCCACCTACGCAACTCCCAGCCCTGCTCTTTGCACTTGTTGCTGTGTGGCCTGCTCCTCGTTACGTGTATTCGCCCTCTACCCATTCCCTCCTACACCCTTCCACCCTCGTCCCGTCCCTCCGTTGTGCTCTCCCCCTCCATTCGTGCTCCCATCCTCCCCCTCTTTTTTACGCTCTGAACCCTCCCATACCTCCTGCCTCTGTAGCTGCTCTTCACCTTCGGTCCTTCAGACTCCAATAACACCCTCTTACCACTACCTACCCCGTCCTACCCCCACTTACCACCCCTTACCCCTTCCTACCCTTCTGCATCTGTGGCTCAGGCAAGATCCAGGCTACGTGCAGTCGTCACGGCTGCAGAGCCTTAAGAAGCAACAGGAGGAGGTATGAGTCAGAGTCTCTGGGTCTTGATGGGAAAGGGGGGCTTGTGCGGACATGAGAGGGTATGTTGGAGAGTGGGGAGGTGGAGACAGTGGGGGAGTGGGGAATAGGGGGAACGGAGAGGGAAAGGAGGATGTGGGATGCGTGTCACTCTAGACCATTGCTTGCTCTTTTTGGGGCGCCTTTGAGAAGGCTTTCGAGGCGACTTTTGAGGCGCCCCAAAAGAGCAAGCAATGGTCCAGTGTGACGCGCATCCCACATCCTCCCCTTCCACGCCCCCTTGTCTTGCTGCTTCCTTGTCTCCATCATCACAGCCCTTCTTTCCATGCTCCCCATCCCATCTCATGCACCCCCTCGCATCCCACGCGCGAGACGCTTCCTCTTGCTTCCCTTTGTCCCATTCAATACCGTTTGTCACCAATGCCTGCACCACCGCCCTCCCTCCCTTCCCCCTTACCTCCCAATCCCCCGCTGCCTTCTCCCCCACACCCGCCCCACCCCCTCGTCTTTTGATGTTTCAGGAGATGGTGCCTCTAAGAGCAGATTACATGGATCCGGTGCTGCAGTCGGGTCAATGGTCGCAGCTGTGTGTCACCTGCCGGGTACGTGTTGTACCTTACGCGCTGGGTACACTCGTCGCTCCTTGTGCATCAGCTGTGTCTATACGGTCGCTATATTCTTTGCTTGCTTCTTTTCCATGTGCTCTGTTGAAATTGCACCCCTTCTTCCATAAGGTTCAGCTCCTCTCCCCATGCCGCCTTGCCACTGAGCATTTCTTGTGTATCCATTATCCCCCATGAAGTTCAACCCGTTTCTGCCACACACACGCCCATCTCCCTCCTCTCCTTTGCTTCCCACCACCAGATCGTACAGCCTAGGAGGGTTAAGCACTGCTCCATCTGCAACAAATTCCCCTCTCGCTCCCCTCTCGCCTCTCCTTGCTCTCTCCAATTCTTTATTTCTGCCACCAGATCGTACGGCCTAGGAGGTCGAAGCATTGTTCCATCTGCAATAAGTGTGTGACTCAGTTCGACCACCACTGCCCCTGGATCTCCAACTGCGTGGGCAAGGTGAGAAATCATGGGGCATTGAGGGCATGGCATGCATGTTAACTACTGTCTGCCCATCACACGTTTCAAGATGCTCGTGCTTGAGCCTTCCCTTCCATTCCTTCTGCCCCCTCGTTCCCTTCCCATCCCCGTTGTCTTTCTTCCCATGAGCTTTACTGCGTGGCAGCGCAACAGCGTTCCTCATCCCAACTCATCCCTGCGTCTTCCCTCCCCCACCCCCCACCCCCCACCTGTTATCTCTAATCTCATGTTCCGTCTGTAATACACAACAGCGCAACAAGTGGCATTTTCTCATGATGCTCATGCTTGAAATGGCAGCCATGGTCATCGCCCTCTCCCTCGCCTTTGGCCGTGAGTCACATGCACCGAAGTCCTCCCTCTCGCCCTCTCGTTCGCATACCCTCACGCTGCCATGACCACCACTCTCCACCAGCTCACGCTACCTCTCACCCTCTCCACCAGCTCACGCTACCTCTCACCCTCTCCACCAGTTCTCCCATTCTCCCATCCCAGTTTCTCCCACTCCTCTCTCCCTAACACTTGCCGCGTTCTGTGCCTTTTTCTTGGCTCTTTCCCTACCCTGCCTTCCTTGTACTGCGCTGCACATCCGCAAATGCGCATGCGTGCATGCATGCATGCACACATCGTTTGAAGGCACTTCAAGTGTGTAGATGCGCACATGTGCTCGCATGCACCATATCCCCCATATCCCCCATATCCCCCATATCCCCCATATCCCCCATATCCCCCATATCCCCCATATCCCCCATATCCCCCATATCCCCCATATCCCCCATATCCCCCATATCCCCCATATCCCCCATATCCCCCATATCCCCCATATCCCCCATATCCCCCGTATCCCCCATCTCCAAATCTCCTGCGTTTCCTTCTTTCTCCTCCCTTCAGCGTCTCGCCAACACAGGTCTGATGAACCTGGAGGGGGCGCCAGCAGCAGGAGCTGGGTGGCCGGGCTACGTGGCAATGCACCACACAGGAGCAGACTTGCTGTTCGCTCACTTCTACTCCCCATATTCCCCCTTCTCCCCATTGCTATGTTTCTCCCCCTTCTCCCTCTCCCACCGTCCTCACCAGGCCTGATGAACCTGGAGGGAGCACCAGCAGCAGGAGCGGGGTGGCTGGGGTACGTGGCAATGCACCACACAGGAGCGCTGGTGTTCATAATCGCGGATGGCTTCATGCTGCTGTCCGTGCTGGGGCTTGTCGTGTCACAAGGCTCTCAGGTCAGTATGAGCTCACTAAAACGCACAGAGTATGTCGAATAACACCACACCACACCACACCACACCACACTGAAATGCATTACACAGGGTGTTCACAATCGCGGATGGCTTCATGCTTCTATCTGTGCTGTAGGACGGGGTTGTAAGTACAGCAGATGGTTAGGACACGGCCAACACGGTCGCTTGAGAGGCTCAGAAAACAAGTTCTTTGGCCCCTTAGCCGTTTCCCCTTCCCTCCAATTTCTCCGCCCAACCTCTTCTTTCACCTCGCCCGTTCCCTAAACCCTAAACCCTTCAACAGGTCGCTCAGAACATAACAACCAGCGAAATGGCCAACGCTCATCGCTGCACCTACCTAAGTGGTCTCAACCCCGCTGCCACTCCCCCCTCCTTCCCCCATCCCCCTTCACCAACAGGTGGCTCAGAACATAACGACGACCAATGAAATGGCCAACGCACATCGCTATGCGTACCTGAGGGGCCCTGACGCAAATACTTCAACCCATTCAACCATAGCTGCTACCAAAATTGCTGCTTCCCTTGGCCCTCATGTCATGCTCTCTATGGTCCCTACTACCCCTCTGCCTTCATTAACAGGTGGCTCAGAACATAACAACAAACGAAATGGCCAACGCCCATCGCTACGCCTACCTGAGGGGCTCTGACGGCAAATACTTCAACCCATTCAACTCCAACCTTTTCCTGTTTGCCCATTCTAACAGGTGGCTCAGAACATAACAACAAATGAAATGGCCAATGCCCATCGCTACGCCTACCTGAGGGGCCCTGACGGCAAATACTTCAACCCGTTCAACCGCGGCTGCTACCAAAACTGCGCTGATTTCTGGACCACTGGGGAAACCACCGACACCGAAGGTTCCTGGAAGCCTCCTCCGCCGCCCGGCCCGTCAGGCGCGTTTTTCCGGCGGATTTTTGGGGTTGGGCGGCACGGGGAGAGAGGGGGCAGGTGCTGTGCACATAACCATGGGCCAGCGGGGGGAGGAGGGGGTGGGGCGGGGAAGGAGTGTGAGGGAGGAGGAGGATTGGGTGGTGGTGGTGGTGATCGCCCACATTCCCACTCACACTCACACTCACACTCTCACCCTCACTCTCACTCTCAGACCAACTCAGGTTCCTCGCTCTCGTCGCTGTTGAGTGTGGTAGCAGCACAGGGGCGGGCAAATCAGCACACGGCCATCCCCATCAACACAGGCAGCGGCAGCAGCAGTGGGAGCAGGGAGAGCGAGTTAGCTCATCTGCTCGGCAGCACCAGCAACGACAGCAGCAGGCCTCTAGGGTTAGGGTTAGGGTTACCCGGATTATCTTCTGCCGCTGCCACTGCTGCTGCCTCTGGTACATCTGCTGCTGCCTCTGGTACATCTGCTGCTGCTGCTGCTGCTGCTGCTGCGGCTGCCGCTGCTGCTGCAGGAGTGGCACCCTCCAAATCCCCTGTCTTTATCTCAGCTGAGAGCTCTTCTATTTTTGGAGGTGCTGCTCCTGGTGGTGCTGGGGTGACTACTGGCATGGCGGGGCATGCGGGGCGCGGGCAGAGAGCTTCGGCCGGGCCTGTGGGGCTGGGAGGTATGGGGCTGGGCGCTAGAGTTGCGAGAGTGGCGGCGAGGGAATAGACACGAGAGCGAGTTTTCGGCGTGTCCACAACTGATGAATGGGACGTAGGGGCATGGAACTGGGTGCTTGTGTGGGGGTTGAGAAGGTTGAACTTAGGTTGAGCATACTTCAGCTTGAGGCTGTGAGGCGAGGCCACTCTACTATGGTCTGTAGGTATGTCTGGTAGGGTATTGCAGATGCTGCAATTATGGTACATGGCATAACAGCGGCAACGGATGCATTTGCTTTATTGTTTGATGTGCCACATCAAATCAGCTCGTTACTTTTGTTCATCAAAGCATGCTTGATGTTGTGCGTGTTCTTGATGCCTCTGGGAGCTGCATGTAAACTGTTGGGCTGAAAAAGCCCTTAGGATCTTTGCAGAGGTGAATTCTGGGTAGAGATGATGTAGTAGCGGAAGTGTCTTTAATAAAGAGTTTGTGAACCACCTTGCGCTAGTATGCGAGGGCAAAGTGAATTGATTAGGGCAAAGTGAATTGATTAAGGCAAAGAGATAAAAGATTATATATGAGTACAGGGAATATGAAGAGACACGGTTATAACTACTTTACTGTTGCTGTTGCGGTTCGATACAGTGACGACTCGGGCAACTGCTCTGTAACGAGTCAGTTGTGTGTCCTTGCTGTCGCGCTGCATTTTTCAGGTCAAATGTCGCTGACCTTCGATTTTCGCGTAACCTCCAGCGGTTACTTCAACCTCCGAGGGTTGACTTGCTGGTGCCTCGATATGCTATGCTTCGTTTGTGCCTTAGTGTTTCGACACGACAGAGGCGCTTAGGAACTATTGTTTCCAACACTCCCCTTCGCTTCTGGAGTGTCGCCGACGTGGCTCTATCCAGTCAGCAGCATGCAATAATCGAACTTCTGCTTTCCGAGCTTCTTGGTCAGGTAATCAGCTGCCATCTCGCACGTGGGGCAGTATGACAGTTTAAGCCTTCCTTTCACGATCTCGTCCTTCACGAAGAAATATCGTAGGGCGATGTGTTTTGTCCTATTCGCGAAGCCGTTCTTGTTGGCGATGCGAATTGCCGACAAGTTGTCGCAGAACAGGGTGAAGTTGTGTAACTCGGCTAACTTCGCTTCTTCCAGTAGCTCGCAAAGATAGAGTCCTTCCTTGGTGGCTGAGCAGAGTGCAATATATTCTACTTCAGCTGACGAGAGAGCAGTTAGTTCTTGCTTGCTCGATTGCCAGGAGATAGGCCCGATAGGCTCGAGACGGTAGATGTAGCCGGTGCGTGATCGCATGTTGTCGGAGTTGCCTGCGTGGTCTGCGTCGACGTAGCCGATTAGCTTAGGCGTTGTAGTTGCGTTCTTATGATAAGTCAGTATGACCGTCGGGGTACTGACAAGGTAGTGAAGAGCGCGGTCGAGCTCCGCCAGATGTTCCGCTTCAGGCCTCTTGAGGTAGGTGGCGAGCTGGCTTGCAGAGTAGGATAGATCCGGGCGGCAGGTGATAGCTGCGAAGAGAAGGCAACCCAGCTTTCTCTGGTAGTCGCGGATGCCGGCGGGCTTGAGTAGAGCGGAGCCTTCCTTGTTGGTTACTGTCGTGTAGCGGTACGGTGTGGAGATAGCTGTTGGTGTGAGTGCGAAACGCTTGGCGATGGTGTCGGCGTATTTCGTGGCGCTGAGGTAGATAGCGTCTTCTTCTTCTCGGATGTTGAGGCCGAGGTACTGTGTGACGGTAGGTGAGACTGTGAGTGTGAGGTCTTGTTGTAACTCCCTGTCTGTAGATCTGCACTGTGGATGCCCGATTGATCCTGGAGAGGGTTACTGGCGCGTTCGCCTGGGGGGTTATGGGCAAACTGACCCGCTACTGAAACAAGCCCTTTTATCCCAATGGTCTAGTGGTTGGGATTCTGACATGGTATCAGAGCGGTCTCGGGTTCGATTCCCGGTGTATGCACATGTAGGACGGTGCCGCTGTGCTTAGTCCTGGGCCTCCCAGTGTGGGGGGGTGTTAGAAGATCCGCACTGTGGATTCCCGATTGATCCTGGAGAGGGTTACAGGCGCGTTCGCCTCGGGGGTTATGGGCGCACTGACCCGCTACTAAAAAAAAGCCCTTTTATCCCAATGGTCTAGTGGTTGGGATTCTGACACTCCCCTTCGAACCAAGTTGTAATACCTTCGTTTGAGCCAATGTAGAGTAGGTCGTCTACATAGACGATTAGCAGGACGTAGTCGGTACCCTTCGAGAGCCGGTACATGCCCTGGTCGTGCGGTAGTTGCTTGAAGCCGATGCGAATGAGGCGAGCGTGTAGGTATTGTTGCCATAGTCGCGGGGCTTGCTTGATGCCGTAGAGTGACTTGAGTAGTTGACAGACGTGTTTTGAGTCCGTGCTGGAGCCGTGTGGTAGCTCGACGAAGATCTCGGCGTCGACGAGTGCGTAGAGGAATGCATTAGCGACGTCGATTTGCCTTAGCTTCTTCTTCTTCATGGCGGCGATCGCGAGAAGGATGCGTAGCGAGGTGTGTCGGCTGACTGGAGCGAATCTTTTGGTGAAGTCGCGGCCGTGCTCTTGGTCGAAGCACGAACGACCCAGCGTGCTTTGAATTTGTCGATGGTGCCATCGGCCTTTGTCTTCACACGAAAGACCCATTTTCCGATGAGTACTGTCTTGTTCCGTGTCACACCGATAGGGACCACCTTCCACGTGTTGCGTTCCTCCAGTGCCTTCAGCTCCTTGTCCATGGCTTCGCGCCATTTTTCTTTATGTTCCCCCCCCAGAGCCTGCTGAACCGTCGCAGGCTCTTTAGGAGCAACGGAGCCGTGGACTGCGGTGACGAGCCCGAGGATCTGCAGTCCACTCTGTGAGTAGCGGGGAAGATTTACATCCTCGGGATAAGCTGCTTCGTCTCCCGTTTCTGGATCAGGTATGAAATTTGGTCCTACACGTTCTGCTTCGTTGGTGTTGACTATCGCAGGTGTTACGTAACCGTTGTCGGCGAAGTGGTAGAAGGTTTCGGCGTTGGCACTTTCGCGAGGGTTGTCTTCGTCCATGGGAACGTCGACGGAGCAGAACGGAAGAGGTCCGGCTTCTTCTGATGCGTTGTCCACATTCTGCTCGTCCCAGTGTGCTTCGTCCGTTGCTGAGGCGAAGGCTCAGTCACCACGAAGGCCACCTGTGAGGTCTTCGTCTTCTTGCAAGTTGGCAAGGTACGTCTGGAGCGTGAGTCGTTCATAGAAAATTACGTCACGTGCTGCTACTGTTTCCTTTGAGTGGACGTCGAAGATTTTCCACGCGTTGTAGTTCTTTTCGATGCGCAAGTGTAGTCCCCACTAAGCTCGTTGAGAAAATCGGCCCGCTCGTGCTGCTGGGGGTCGGTACTGTACCATGCACCCGAAAAACTCGTAACATTTTTGTGCTGCCCTGTTTCCCTGTCCATAGCAGATGCGGTGATGCGTTGTTCGGAAGCGATGACGACGACAACAAATTGTGCAGCATGACAGCGTGGTCCATTGGTGCAGGCCATTGGTGGTTGGGTAGCCGCATGCCACGTAGCAGTTTGCGAATGGTGTTCTGCAGGGTCCTGTTCATTCTCTCTGCTACTCCTTGCTGCTGATGGGCGTAGGGAAGGGAGATGAGCTGCTTGATTCCCCTTTCCGTGAGGTACTGCTTGAACCGCTGAGAGATGTATTCTCCTCCTCCGTCAGACTGGAAGCTTTTCAGTTGTACGCCCGACTCTCTCTCTGCTACTGGTAGCCAGGCAACAAAGGCTGCGAATGCCATGTCGCGGCTGGGTAGGTTTAGGTGCCAGACGTAACGGGTGGCGGCGTCGATGAAGGTGATCGTGTAGTTGTATGTGACTTGTCCTGGTTCCCGATTGAACAGTATATCGCTATACACCTTCTCGAGTGGTGCGTACGCGGGAGCGCTTGGGTTGTGATGTGACGCAAATGGTCGATGCGGTAAGTCGCCTTCAGGGCAGGTGAAGCACGTTCCTCGCGCTCGTTGAAGTTCTCGTCCGTCGGTTAGTAGGAGCGAGTCCTTGTCAAGTACTCTTGCTCTTATTGTATTGTTTAATACTATGTTGCTTGGGTGTCCCAACCGTGCGTGCCAGGTGCTTTCGTTGGCGCGATGTCCGGGTGATCGTCGGTACATGTCGGAGTTGGAGTAGAAGCTGGCGGTGAAGTTGGTGCTGCGATGAACTTCTCGTGGTGCTGGGTGTAGTTGTTGCGCTGGTGTTGGTGATGTGTCGTCGATAAGGAGTGGTGTCGTTGAAGGACCAGCAACTGGTGTTGACATTCCTGCTGCTGCCGTTGATGGTTCTGCTGCTGCCGATGTTGTCTCTGCTGCTGCCGATGTTGTCTCTGTTGCTGCCGATGTTGTCTCTGCTGCTGCCGATGTTGTCTGGATTGTTGCTAACGCCCTTGTTCTTTCTGCTTCAGGGATGGTGTGTGAGTACCAGAAGCCTTCTGGACTGATGTCTGAATCAAGGTCCGGAGGGTGTGTCCAGTCGGTGAAGTTGACGATGGCGTCGTTGTCGGCAGTGCCAAGGTCAGGGACGAAATCAAGAACGAAGACGTTGTTCTTGAGGACCGCCCTGCCGATGTAGAGTCCTCCTCTCCTGTGATACAGCTTGAATTCTTGAGTGGTACTGTCTGCTTCGAGATGAATCCCCTTCGCCATCAGCTGGCTGACGCTCAGTAAGTTGTAGCCGAGTCCCGTAGCGATTAGTACCTTTGACATCTGTAGTACGATGTTTGTTTCCCTTGACTGAAGTTGAACTACGCCTTGTCGTCGTGTTCGCAGGTTTTGGTTGTTGGCGACTGTAATGACGACTTCGCGTTGAAGCTGGTGTTCTCGTTGAACGAAGCGTCCTGAGGAACACATGTGTTGTCCGCAGCAACTGTCCAAGAACAAAGTGTCTCTTCCGGATGGTTCGCTTTGAGCGATGGTGGCGTATGTCGGGTTCGGCTGAAGTGACTCGCGACGGGGTGTGGTTTCGTCGAGTTGTTCTTCCGGTGAGTAGTGTGGTGGTGACTCGGTGATGCAGGAGTATGTTATCTTTGTCATGCAGCTGACGATGTTTCTTGCTTCTTGTGCAGGTTGTCCTGTTGAAGTCTTTGAAGCTTGAATCTGAGTCGTAGGATTTGTCTGCGTCGAGGCGACTTAGCTGCTTGAAAGCCGAAGTTGTCGCTGCGGGGTTGTTGATTGTTGACGATTCAGACAGTGCGTGCGCGGGTGTCCTGAAGTTTTGCAGATGTGGCAGAACGGGGGTACTGGCTTCAGTTGTTACTGCCGGTTGTTGTTGTTGTTGTAGCATCGCTGGGTGTGGAACGCGAACTCTGGTGTTGAAGTCTTCTTTTTGTGTCGTTCTTCTTGCAGATCCATGTCTTACTGCTCGGCATGGATTTCGGCGCAGAGCGCTGCTTCGGAGATTCTTCCGTGAGCTCGGAGGATGGCTTTTGTGGCGCGCCATTGAGGACCGAGGCCACCGATGATGACTGTCACGAAGGCGTCTTCAGAAATCGACCCTCCGCATCGGAGAAGCTTGTCACGCAATTCGCGACATCGACTGATATACGCCATTCCTTTCTCCCCTGGTTTCATTTCAACCGTTGTCAGTTGTGCCATTAACCGACTTTGACTTACACTGTCTGTTGCTTGATACAGGCTCTTAAGGTGGTTGTACGCGAGCTCCGCGGAGTTACCGTAACCTCGGTAAGTCCTTATGTTCTGCTGTTGAGTCGGGGTGATATTTCTCAGTAGGATCGTGTACGACATCATTGACTGATAGGTGTACTGCTGCTTCTCGTACTGTGGGCCGTTTGTTGGGTATGGCAGGGATCCGTAGAAAAACCCGAGTATCTGCGCGCCTTCCATCATCAGCTCAAACTCGAACGACCAGGTGAAGAAATCCTTTCCATCGAAAGGTCTTCACGTCTGGATCTTCAGAACATGTGCGAACTGCGACTGAACTTGTAGTGCGTCCAGTTGTTTTTCTTGTCCAGGTGAGGGCTGTGGGTGTGGCATGAAGCTGATGGATCCGCGCTCGTACGGAGCAAAGGTAGGCTGTTGTTGCTGATTTCCTCGTGCATACGATGAGCCGTCAAGACTCATGGGTGTTGCTCCGTTGTTGTTGCTGTTGTGTGATTGCGCAGGTGCCGATTGCTGGTGTTGCTCGTAGATGGACATGAAGGAGAAGAACTTCTCCATCATGCTCTGGTCGAAGTCCGCAGGATGATTTGCGGGAGTCTCAGTAGATGTTGCTCTGGGTCTTGTTGCCGTGCCCTCCTCTGTCTGTAGGCCAGAGGCAGGAGGTGGAGTAGGAGTAGTGCCCTGGGATCCGTTGGAGTTGCTCCTTCCCTTTTGTGTAGCCATGCTGATTGACACTGTTGGTATATAAGTTGAATTCCCCCTGATAGCTCTCATACCATGTTGGGCTGAAAAAGCCCTTAGGATCTTTGCAGAGGTGAATTCTGGGTAGAGTTTATGTAGTAGCGGAAGCGTCTTAATAAAGAGTTTGTGAACCATCTTGCGCTAGTATGTGAGGGCAAAGTGAATTGATTAAAGCAAAGAGATACAAGATTATATATGAATACAGAGAATATGAAGAGACATGAATTTTTTCGAAAGTGTGTAACACTTTCTAAAAATGTGTATTGTGAAAGCGCAGCTGCCTGTAACGAAGCAAAGCAACGGCGAATTACAATTCGCCGAGTACATAACGAGAGTTGGAGGCCATTTCGCCTCCACCCACGACTTCATTTCAGAACTTTGCAGTTTCACTCCAATTCTCGTCCAACCACCTCGACCGTTTCCTTGTCGCTAGAAACTACCTTCTAAGCTAATACTCACTTGCACGTTCAACCCAGGCGCTTGATTTTCCATGAAGGGCAAACTATCACGAGTGCGACTGTAACTAGCGGGCGCTCAACTGAGATCGAAGTGCGTCGGACAAAACGCCAACAGGCGCGCCAGAGACGAAATCGCCAGTGGCGCGCGCTAGGGACAAAATTGCCAATGGCGCCAGTGGCGCACGATTGGGACGAAATCGCCACTGGCGCTAATGGCGCGCACCAGGGACGAAATCGACACTGGCGCCAGTGGCGCGCGCCAGGGACGAAATCGCCACTGGCGCAATTGCCGCGCGCCAGGGACGAAATCGCCACATGCGCGCATGTGGAGAAATTACCACATGCGCCAGTGGCAAAATCGCCACTAGCGCTCGAGGGACGAAATGGCCGCTGGAGCGGCAGTTACGAAATTGCTACTGCAGCGCCTAAAGTCGTTCGACTGGGCGTCATTTGTTGCCTACGTGCTGCAAGTCTTTTAAGTTTAAGTTTTTCTTCTGTTATGATCTCTTCGATTATTTTCCATTAATCTCTATGCTCCTATTGTTACTTGGTGGCAGAAAAATAGGCTCAACACCACGGGTGCGGAAAAACACTTTTAAAGACTCTACTGGTCGCGCGGGAGAACTACATTTACAACAGGATCAACTCAACGCGCACCCAAGGACGTCTCCCAATAAAAAGAAGGGACCGAGGGTCTTCGTGTGGCCTGAGAGCCGTCCCCCAGGGGAGGAAGGGGACCGAGGGTCCCCGTGTGGCCTGAGAGCCGTCCCCCAGGGGGGGAAGGAGACCGAGGGTCCCCGTGTGGCCTGAGAGCCGTCCCCCAAGGGGGGAAGAGGACCGAGGGTCCCCGTGTGGCCTGAGAGCCGTCCCCCAGGGGGGGAAGGGGACCGAGGGTCCCCGTGTGGCCTGAGAGCCGTCCCCCAGGGGGGGAAGGGGACCGAGGGTCGTCGTGTGGCCTGAGAGCCGTCCCCCAGGGGGGGATGGGGACCGAGGGTCCCCGTGTGGCCTGAGAGCCGTCCCCCAGGGGAGCAAGGGGACCGAGGGCCCCGTGTGGCCTGAGAGCCGTCCCCCAGGGGGGGAAGGGGACCGAGGGTCCCTGTGTGGCCTGAGAGCCGTCCCCCAGGGGAGGGAAGGGGACCGAAGGTCCTAGCGTGGCCTGAGAGCCGTCCCCCAGGGGGGAAGAGACTCGAAGGTCCACACGTTGGCCTTACCGTAAAATGGGCAAAAATTTCGAACAATGTGCTCGCTTGTATGACTGGTTCATCCTTGGTTTTTTATGTACCCCATTTACTTTTTAATGTGACCAATAAAGGCTGGTTGGAGCCCCACTGAAATCTCGGGAAGCAACTGTTCAAGTGCACCTCAAGTTGGTTTTAAAATCTTGACTTGACTCCAGTTGGTGTTCACACACTTTTAAACCACATTCCGTGTTCTTCCAAATAAGGGCAATGACAATGGGATCGGTTTTCGCCATCATTCTCATCCCACTTTGTTCGATAACACCCGACAAGGAAGCAAAAGCACACGTTGAAACGACTTGCATGCTGTCACCTGAATGGGCGTTTGGGAGTAAAAGGCGGCAATTGTGTGACCGTTCCTACCCAACCAACATGACGAATACCACACTCACCCGAGTACCACTTCAAACCCTTACATCCACCCACGTTGTAGTTATTCCGGCCGGAACATCAAACGACTGGAAGTGTAGGGTAAAGCAGAGCACATGGAAGCTAAATCCCAAGATAAAAGTTGTACCGTGCATTGGGCGTGTAGAGTACGGGAACCACCAGTTTCAACCACTATCCTGGTGCACCAACAACTAGGGACATCCACATCAACAGCACGAGCAACCTTCGCGCACAACACCTCGGACGCCATCGACATGGAGCCCACGACTCACCAACGCCGCCCCTCCCGGCATTTCGTCAATGTCATCAACCGTAACTACACTCACCACGTTTTCAACGCTCCAGCTGCACATGTCTCAGAAGACCCAATTGTAATGAAGCCAGTTGCCTTTGCAAGAACAGAAAGCAAGCTTTCTCAATATGAATTTTTTTCGACAGTGTGTAACACTTTCTAAAAATGTGTATTGTGAAAGCGCAGCTGCCTGTAACGAAGCAAAGCAACGGCGAATTACAATTCGCCGAGTACATAACGAGAGTTGGAGGCCATTCGGCCTCCACCCACGACTTCATTTCAGAACTTTGCAGTTTCACTCCCCACCCACCCGCCCTAGTTGTACCAATATAGTTGGACGAGAATGTTGTATTACTGCAATTGTAATGAAGCCAGTTGCCTTTGCAAGAACAGAAAGCAAGCATTCTCAATACGGTTATAACTACTTTACTGTTGCTGTTGCGGTTCGATACAGTGACGACTCGGGCAACTGCTCTGTAACGAGTCAGTTGTGTGTCCTTGCTGTCGCGCTGCATTTGTCAGGTCAAAGGTCGCTGACCTTCGACTTTCGCGTAACCTCCAGCGGTCACTTCAACCTCTGAGGGTTCACTCGCTGGTGCCTCGATATGCTCTGCTTCGTTTGTGCCTTAGTGTTTCGACACGACAGAGGCGCTTAGGAACTATTGTTTCCAACATAAACCACCAAAAGGGTAAATTAAAATGAAGGCTCCCATGTCTGAGCATGCACTGTAGGCACAGAGATTTCTACTCATATGGCTGAAGGGACGGGGCCACTAGTAGCACAGGCAAGCCACCACTCCCTGTGTTTCCTGCAGCCACACTCAAGCATCCATCTCCCACAGCGCATCGCATCTACCCTCTTATAGCGTTAGTGAGTGAGGAGACAGATAAACTCAAGCCCAAATTTGGCGAGCTGAAACCCTCCAACACCAGTAGCACCCCTCAGCTGGCTAGTTTGAAGGCATCAATGAAGAGACCGTAGGTGAATCCCATCTTGAACACGTTCAGCAGAGCAAGCGGATATGATATGAGTAGCTTTGACAGCTGGCCCGATCCCGAAGCTCACGCCACCTCCAGCAGCAAAAACGCTCTCAGCTGGCTAGTTTGAATGCGTTTATGAAGAGACCGTAAGTGAATCCCATGCTGAACACGTTCAGCAGAGCGAGCGGGAACGAGCTTTCACAGCTGACTCAAATCCAAAGCTGACTCGTTCTCCAGCAGCAGCAACGCTCAGCTGGCTAGCTTGAAAGCGTCTATGAAGAGACCGTAAGTGAATCCCATCTTGAACACGTTCAGCAGAGCGAGTGGGAACGACGGGCGTAACGTAGAGTAGTACGATCTGGTTACCACTTCGGTGAAAACCAGACATATCGCAGCAGCTGCCACGTCATTCACGCTCAGAGCGCCGAAGGAGAGAGAGATGGTTTGGGCGACGTAGAAACCGCCAAACAATGCGATGCCGCCAAACATGGCTCTGCGCAGCGGCCGGGCGGCAAAGTAACTGTTCACGCGCCGCTGGATTTCGAGAAGGATGTTCAGCGGGCTGAGGCGAGGTAAGGAAGATGGTGGGAAGCTTCCAAACCCTCCAAACCCTGAACCCTCGTTTCCGCTCCCGCCTCCCCATCCGCTTCCCATTCCGCTCCCACCTCCCCCTTCCCCTCCGCCCCCTCCCCCTCCTCCCCCGCTTCCTCCACCGCCTCCTCCCCTGCTTCCTCCGCCGCCTCCTCCGCCTCCCGCTCCGCCTGAGCCCCGCCATCTGCCCCCAGTTCCGCTCCCTCCGCCGTCGTCCGTTTCGTATCGGTTACGATCCCTCGCTCCGCTGCTTCCTTGGCTGCTTCTTCCCCACCATTTGAATCCAGACGTAGCTCGAGTTGACAGGTCACGGTTCCGCCTTTCGCGTGGTGGTAAACATGATGAGGGTTGCGGGACTGCTGCTGGAAACGAATAAGGAGTCGGACAATAACGAGGGGACTCAGCTTCAGCGGAGGTTATTCGTAGATGCGACGATCCGTTAGAAGCTGATGCGCTGCAATGTGCACTGCATTGTATGTTACAGTGGACGACTGTTCTCCCGATTTCGGCGATGCTGTTTCGAGTGCAGAATGTTGCGGGTAACGAGCAGGTGGATTGCAGAGTATCGCATACGCGACTAGCGCATATGGGTCGATGAAGCGAGGAATCGTGGACGTGCGGTGTCACAACCTTGAATGATGACGTCATTTGGCCAGATCAGCAGCAGCGGCGGGCTGGTCAGCGACTGAGAAGCGTCAATTGGCGGATAATATCAATGACAGGCAGATGGAATCTCAAAACCCTCTACAGGACTTGGATTATCAAATAGTGGCAATAAGCACGAATGCATGGCTCCTGACCAGTCACTAGGAAAACGGTCGCTGGTATGCGAATCTGACAAATTCTGCTTCCTTCGCCGAATCAACCAGCTTTCGCAAACGCAAGCTAGATCACGAGTTTCTTCCTAGCATCAAATATGGACTAATTCATGAATTACCAGTTCACTGTGCCACCTGTGGCCTACTATTTTAGAGCCTGGGTAGGCGGGTAGTGGTGGTGGATGATCTGATTATGTGATCAACAATTATGAGGGTGTGCGACTTGCGACAGTTCACGACCACTTTGGTCTTTTGAATCGGCCTTCTGATTCGTTGTAACCCACTAACGAGCTTTCGTCTCGTGTGATGATTCTTTTCGTTGTCAGGGAGGCTGGTTTCCAGATAACTGTGGCTTCCCTGCAGGAGCCACGTAAGCACATCCGCGGGCCCGAGCGAACTTCAGGAGATGTCCGAGCGAACTTCGGGATGTCTGCCAGCCACGAATACATCCGCAATAACGTGCAGGTTATTCGGTGTCACATTAATTCTGGGAAATAATTGTGCCCCAGCTGTGGGTGGTAGTTCATTTTCCTTTAGCTTATGGAGCCAATATTCAGGGCATGGGAAGGCACCGTACATAGATGAACTTTAAAAGGTGTGCTGATTCAAGGACAAATCCCAACATGATTGCCAACAAACTCACTTGCCCCTGCAAATGCTGCAGCCGCAGCATGTGCCAAAATCCCTATCCAATCAAATTACCCTGTTTTCCCACGTCGCTTGCATTCAATTGTGGTTGCAAGTGTCAATGTACTTGCGAAGAGCAGACGTGTCCAGAGCAGGAAACTGCGATGTCACAGACACAACAGCTTCTGCCAGCCTCCTGGTGGCCGCCTTGGAAGGGCCCTGGGAGGTTAGGATAAGAAGGATGTACACACAGTATGATGATAGAGGCACTAGGTGAGATGCAATGCAAGTGGGCACTTCAATCCTTCAGGTCAAGTGCTGGATCTATTAGCAATTTTCGAATGGAGAAGTTGGATAACCCTCCTTAACAGATAGCTTAGTCGTAACAAATGTCTTGAGGAAATGTAAGAACATTCGCTGGAGTGTTACTGCAATGCATACCTCAATATTGAGGGGCAAGATTCTCTAAAAGAGGGTTTTGTTACGCACACCTCAATGTTGAGGGGCAAGATTCTCTAAAAGAGGGTTTTGTTACGCATACCTCAATGTTGAGTGGCAAGATTCTCTAAAAGAGGGTTTTGTTACGCATACCTCAATGTTGAGGGGCAAGATTCTCTAAAAGAGGGTTTTGTTACGCATACCTCAATGTTGAGGGGCAAGATTCTCTACAAGAGGGTTTTGTTACACATACCGTCATCACCCGGATATTAAGACAGTGTTGAATAGTAGACAGGGGTTGTCTATTATACGGGTGTCTCTTATAAACGGGGTAGCCTCATTATAAGACACCTATTTGTGTGTAGGGGCAAATGGCAAATGTATAACGAGGAAGTATCTTCTAAACGGATTTTTGTCCATTTATAAGACTGATTTTTTAATGTATGAGATAAGACATACATGTCTTATATCCGGGCGATGACGGTACCTCAATGTTGAGGGGCAAGATTCTCTAAAAGAGGGTTTTGTTACGCATACCTCAATGTTGAGGGGCAAGATTCTCTAAAAGAGGGTTTTGTTACGCATACCTCAATGTTGAGTGGCAAGACAGGGTCGTGGAGAGACAAGCGCAGCAGGAACCATCCACCGAACCCGGACACCCGCACCTGAGACAAGAGACGCCGACCAAGAGCAGTGTGCGAGAACAGCAATGCAACAGAGGAATATGTGGGACAGGATGCTGCTTTTACTCTTTATATTCCTCTGATGAACACCCCATGAAATGCATGGAGGAAAGAAGTCAAGCCTGAGATAAATGCCAACCAACAAAACTTCAAAGATGTCTGAGACAACCTAGAACGATTGGAGAAGAAGCGAGAAAAAATTGTGTAAGGCTCTCACCCCGTCATAGTTCGACTTGACAGGCGGCTTGGAGAGAGCAGCATCACTCTCTACTGTTGCTGCGCGGGCCTACGAGTTGCTACCTTATGTGCCATGTAAGAAGGCAGGCATTCACACCAGGCAGCACCCTTCATTCTCTCACTCCCAACAGCACAGTGCTCTCACCCCTTCGTAGTTGACAGGGGCCTTGGAGAGTGCAGCATCGCTCTCCACCATGGCTGTGAGCGCCTCTAGAACCTTCTCCCCGTATGCGCGGAACCCTCTGGAAGAGAGCGAGCGAGACAGAATGCAGGGAGATGAGACAGGAAACCCACTGTGAAATATAGGGTTTCCAGTTGTTTTATAGCTTTGCGACATCTTCAAAACACGATGGCGCTCTTTCTTTGACTCACATGGGTGTCACGTCAGCGTGGTCCTGGTTGATTCGCAGCCGAACCTCCGTAGCCTCGTCAGCCTCCTGCAGGTCCTCTATCATGCGCGTCAACACCGCACTGCCCTTTGCCTCCCCCTTGCCTGCTGCTGATGCCAGTTTCACCAGCAGCTTCACCTGCCAGTTGGGAAGGGAAGATGGAGAGTTCAAGGGAGAATGGGAAATAGGTAAAGGGAAATGAGTACAATAGCTGGGATGCCTCACCTCACCCGCCATACAAGAGCAAGGGGTAGTTTGCAAGGGTCATCATTCATGTATGCACGCCGTCATAACAACATGCAGTAGGCACCATCATCAAGCCATCGGTTCTCCTCGAAAACACCATGAGCAGCAGCATGGAACGCCAACGTAATATGACTTGCACCACCAACCAAGCACACATACCATGAGGTAGGCGCCATCATCAAGCCATCTGTTCTCCTTGAGAGCCCCATGGCCGCTGGTCTCCATGGCAAGATGGCACTCCTCTCCCACCGAGTTCTGCCAGGACAGCGAAAGGAAGAAGGGAGAGAGTATAGCACATGGCAATAAAGAAGCATGGCCTCGCATGGTAGTACAGAAACGGCATGACATTGAATGGACTGGCACGGCATGGCATGATGGCATGAGAGTCTCACCAGTCTGATGCCCTCATCAATCACGTTCTTATAGCCCCGCTTGAACCTCAGATGCTTGCCCCCTGATGCCATGACATGCCATGCCATGCCATGTCAATGGGATACATATGGGAAGACATGCCGGACAGAGGGGCATACGAGAACGATCGGCGGAGGGACATGCAGGAGTGATGAGCGAACGTGCAAGGTGAAGAGATGCAGAAAGTAACAGATGCATGCATATGGACGCATGTGCCTGCACTGCATGCATGGCTGTACATGTATGTGCGTGTGCATGCATCCGTTGCAGTGCGGCTACTGACCGAGCTTAGATTCAATGAATGTGGTCAGTCCATCCGATGTCACACTGTCCGTGACTATAGTGGTGCCTGGGTGCTGGGGAACGGTGGGAAGAAGTAGAAAGGGGTGGGAGTGGGTGGGAGGGCGTGAGATGGGGTAAGAACGAGTGGATGCAAGGTAGCCCTTCAGATTGAACACTGTCCGTGACTTTAGTGGTGCCTGGGTGCTGCGGAGGGGTACGGAGGGACGTTGGAGAGGGAGGGGTGGTAGGATCGAGAGGACAATTTTGATCCCTGTGTGACCCCTGTGTGCCAGTCTTCCCTCCTTACCAGCCCCCCACACCTCCTCACCAGCCCCCCACACCTCCTCTCCAGCCCCCCACACCTCCTCTCCAGCCCCCCACACCTCCTCTCCAGCCCCCCACACCTCCTCACCAGCCCCCCACACCTCCTCTCCAGCCCCCCACACCTCCTCATCAGCCCCCCACAACTCCTCACCAGCCCCCCACACCTCCTCACCAGCCCCCCACACCTCCTCACCAGCCCCCCACACCTCCTCACCAGCCCCCCACACCTCCTCACCAGCCCCCCACACCTCCTCACCAGCCCCCCACACCTCCTCTCCAGCCCCCCACACCTCCTCTCCAGCCCCCCACACCTCCTCTCCAGCCCCCCACACCTCCTCTCCAGCCCCCCACACCTCCTCTCACCCCTTCTCACCCCCTCACCCCATCTCGCCTCCTCTCACCCCATTCCACCTCCTCTCACCCCTTCTCACCCCCTCACCCCATCTCACCTCCTCGAGCACGATCGCCGCGATGAGAGCAATCAGACGGTTGCGGTTGATCTCCTTGCCGGACGAATCAACGGCTGCAGCTCTGTCCACGTCAGTGTCAAAGATGATCCCAAGGTCCGCCTTCTCCCTCAGCACCGCGCCTGTGATCGCCTCCATGGCTGCCTTGTCCTCTGGGTTCGGAATGTGGTTCGGAAACAGGCCTGACGGACGGGCGTGGTTCGGGGAGGGTGTGGAGTAAGGCGGTCGTGTGCATGCACACATGCATGCATGAGCATGAGTCAAATAAAGCTGTCCTATTCCACCTGCTGCCACGCCATCATGCCATCATGTGAGCAATCCGACCATCGGAACATGCCACATGTGATGCTAACATACCGTCACATACCATCACACACTATCATGCCACACTCCACACATGTGCCATACCATCAGGCTCAAGGAATTGACTGCCAGAAGTGTTGGCTCCTAGAGGCTCCAGCACCCCGGCCTGAAAGATTTACACATGGATGAGGCACGGCACGCACATGGATGGGGCACGGCACGCATATGGATGGGGCATGAGGCACTTCTGGGGTTGAGTCAGAAAGAAAGAGCCACAGCAGAAACACAATCCTTCAACGTTGGGCGATCTTGTGGAAAATAAACAGCGCATGATCTGTCAGAGTCACAACTTCAAACTACAGACTCACAGCAAAAAAGCCCCCTGCGCCGTTACCAGCATCAACCACGATGTGGTAACCCTCCAATGGACGATCTGTAACACATGTCACACACACACCAGACACACACACACACACACACACACACACACACACACACACACACACACATACATACACATAACATACACACACATACACACACAGAGAGACAGGAGAGCCACAATGACAAACACATCAGCACCGATGCACACAGCCTTGCCTGCCTCGGACCCCAGATGCCTTCCAAACCGCGTCAGCCATACCGCTTCACATAAACAACCCACGTGCACTCCAACCCTACCCAAACTCAAGATGAGAGGTTAACCGTATGACCAATCAAAGGGAGGAGAATCGTACCTCCAGCCTTAGCCGCCTTCCTCACAGCGTCAACCAAATCTGCAGCGTATCTCTTCATATAATCCACATGCACCGTCTGCTTCTCCGCCTTCTCCTGATTGGCCTGCACGGATTCTGCTGACATGGACTCGTAGATCTGGGCGGCAGACGCCAGGATGGCCGCGATATCTGCCTTGTTTGCGCCGCCCTTTGCTGTGAAGAACTTGAGGCCGTTACGGTTGAAGGGGAGGTGGCTGGCTGAAAGTTGAAATTAGGGAAAGGGGAAGAGAAAGAGAAAACAGGGTTAGCAGGCATATCTGCCTTGTTTGCGCCGCCCTTTGCTGTGAAGAACTTGAGGCCGTTACGGTTGAAGGGGAGATGGCTGGCTGTAGGGTGGGTGGCCAGATTGATAGACGGGGAGAGAGCAGAGAGACAGGGGAATGTGAGGTGGGGATAGCGGGGATATCCACCTTGGCACCGCCCTTTGCTGTGAAGAATCTGAGACCATTGCGGTTGAAGGGGTGGTGGCTGGCTGTTGGGTGATCGTCCAAGGAAAGGAAGAGGAAAGTGGAGTGGGGTAGAGGGGGGGAGAGCAGAGAGAAAGGGGAATGTGAGGTAGGGATAGTGGCGAAATCCGCCATGTTGGAGTCGCCTTTTGCTGTGAGGGATTCAAGGCCGTTGCGGTTGAAAGGCAGGTTACTGGCTGTGAGTGGAGAAAGGCGGAGATGAAGACATGCAGTGCAGGGAAGGAAACGTGGAAGCGGGTCTTCGGTGACTGTGCTGCTGAACATGGCTGACGTGGCCGCCATACCGAACCGAACCACCTTCTGAAACAGCATCCTAATACCACCCATGTTTAAGTTTATCCCTCCAAGAAGCACACACCTGTGATCATGATGCCTCCGTCGTTGGGGCAGTGCAGGCTCGCATCCTCTGTGACTGTGCTGCTGAACATGGCTGGCGTGGACGCCAGGCCAAACCGAACCACCTTCACGCCCTCGCCTGCCAGCCCACGCGCCACTGCTGCCTGCAGGCGGGAGAGAGGAGGACAGAGAGAGTAACGGCCGATTTGAAACCCTGAGAATATAACCAAACCGAAGCGAACCCAACCACCTCCACCAGCCCGATCGAGTCATGCTCGATGGACACACAGCTCAGCTGCCCACCAGACCTCTCCCCCACCTGCTTCTTCTCCCCAGCAAAAACCGGGCGAATGCTGGACCGATGGCCTCTGCTGTCAAAACCTACTCACACTGGCAAATCCACTACGCACCCACCGTGATCACATCAGCCGACACTCTCGAGTCATGCCCGATGGACACGCTCAGTTGCCCATCGGCCTTCTCGCCCGCCTGCTCCTTCTTCCACTTCAGGAACCGAGCAAAGGCCGCGCCTATCGCCTCCGCTGCTGGCTCCGTTAGTGTCACAGGTTCGCCCTCCACCCCCGGAATAGCCACTCCCCTTATGTCACTGCATTCACATGGCAGAGGGTCAGGATAGGTGAAGTTTGGAGCCCTAATTCCTGACTGGCCTAAACGTTTCAGCGTGTGCTCTACCGCGGAGAACTTTGCCAAAAGCTCGCTACACTGAGGTTGAAAGACTAATATGTAAATTCTTCCCTCTCTCTTCCACTTTATGTTTCGTTCTGAAGCAACGCTCGTACCTTCCGTTTTGAAGCTTCTTGAAGTCGATTGCCTGGAAGAGGGTAGGTTGGCTCTCCACCGCTGTTGCTGCGACAAAGCCAGAGCATCAGACACACGCATGCAAACCATACGGCAGTGTGGATTCAGAATCATGCGATAGGTTTCGCACGCAGAACCAACCACACCACGAAGAAAAGAAACCGAGAAAGAGCAGAAGGAAAAGAGCGAGAAGAGTGAGTGAGAGTGGATAAGGTTTTTGGGTGACGGACTGACCAAACGAAATCTGGGACGGATTGGCAGTTGATGCTTCCACGACAACCAGCCGCTGGCTGCGATTGGAGCAGCTTGACAGCTGGAGCGGTGTGTGACTGTAACGAGAGGTGAGTGCTTGTACGGCATTTGCGGACAACGCGGGCTTCAAGCTGGGGAAAAGCCTCGCAGCTGGATTGCTGCTGCAGAGGCTGGAAGTGAGCATCGCTGCAGCACACGGGGAAATTCACAGAGACGGACAGACGCGGAAGCACACGACGCTATAAGTTCACCGACCACAATTTTTGAGGCGCCTCAAAAGTCGGAAGCACACGACGCTATAAGTTCACCGACCACAATTCTCGTGCTTGCGCTCGAGCTCGTGCTCGTGGTCGCGATTCGCTGAAAGAAAGGAAAATGGAGAATGTATCTCACCAGCCATTTTAATGTTATCTAGCGGAGAAGGAAGGTAGACTTATGCAGGAGCAAGCACTGCGTCCGTCCGAACGATGCTCGCACGGGAGAAACGAAACGACAGCAGCAACGACTATTGAGACGTTTCAAAAGTCCGAACGATGCTCGCACGGGAGAAACGAAACGACAGCAGCAACGAGCCACGGCTTTATATTCCAAGTCCCGAGAGATTAGCACATGCTGTGCCTTTACAAGAGAAAGAAATAAGCAGGAAACCAGCAACGAAATCCCGAGAAGATGCTGTGCGTTCAATCAAATGCTGCAGCGGCAAGACGGAGTTCCCTAGGGACACCAAGAGGCAACCGGAGTTCCCAAGACAGCCCAATTTTGAGCCAGCCCCGAATTCCCCATCCCCCAACCTGACAACGATAGTCGAAATATCCTGTCCGTCGGCCTTTCCCTGCGAGAAAGGTGGGACCACCAGCCACGACGCATTTGCTTCTGCCCCATCTGAAGTCTAGAAGGCCCACATGGCACAAGGTGATTCACGGCCCAATGTTCGGCTGCAAGAATCAAGGACTACTGACGTGGAAAGCCAGTCGAAAAAGGTCAACATGGACGTTTAGGTGAAGGAACCGACAACTTTCTGGGACGTTGATCTGTAGTGTTCGCAAAATCACCTTTTGCTGACGACGACAGCCAGTGATTTCAGTTGTGGATGTTACAGGATGACAGTCACGTGCCACGCCAAAACAGAGAAAAATTGTACAGCTTTTAATTGCCAAAGCAATTTACCAATAAGAGTAAATGATCTACACCAACAGCCTGCAATTTTCCTTACAAATTCTGATGCTCATTTATTAGCATGAAACAATGAAACACTCTATGGATGCTTTCATTATCTATACATGAGTACACAGTCCATTATAACCTAAGGTGGTTTGCAAAGTGTCGTCCCTTTGTACAGTCGACTGTTTGTGCAGACATATCCACTGTTATATTGTGAAAGCAAACGTGATGATGACTTGAAGTAGAGCGCTATGATGCGAGCACACGTATCACCAGTGACAACGGTATAATACAACTTTGTAACACATTTTGAAGCACCCAGCAAAACACTTGATTGGCCACCGCGAGTACAGATCTGGCGGTGGAAAGAAAATGCAGGACAAGCAGAGAAAGGCAGGACCACACAGGGAAGGAACATGAGGAAGGGAGAAGGGGAGAGCAACCAATGATAACTCCACTAACCTCTGGAATATAATGCCATAATCAATAGTACACAGAAGGTACACTAGATCGTTCCACATCCACAAAAGCACCTGTTGCTACCTTTAACGCTTACAATAACCTGCTTACCTTCATGCTGTTACCTACTCTACACCAACCTGCTGACATATATACTGTACACCCATGTTGCAGTTGATACCTGGAGTCAGCGCATAGACCTCCTTACTGGTCAGAGCCTGCTGCCCACTTGCTGACATCTGCTATCCACGTACCTGCTGACATTTTGTGTGTGCATGCCCACCTGCTGACATCTAGTGTTCCATGCACCCACCTGTTGCCCCAGCAGACTCTGGTCCCCCACGTTGCAGTTGATGCCCCGATTCAGAGCATAGAACTCCTGGCTTGCCCATATCCACTTCCTACCTGCTGATAAACCACTATCCATCTTGTCCCTGCTGCCCTATACACCCACCTGCTACCCTATACAGCAAACCCACCTGCTGCCCCAGCAGGCTCTGCTCCCCCACGTTGCAGTTGATGCCCGGATTCAGCGCATAGAACTCCTGGCTGGTCAGGGGCGGCCGCGCGGATCTCATTATAGTGTCACACGTGTCTCCCTCCGCTACAGTCACATACTCCTGACACACGGGCAGGTCGGCTGTCCCCCGCACCACACACACCTGACACAGAGTCACAGGGATGGAAAAAGGGGGCACGCAGGTTGGTCAACCGTGCCCCTCACCGCACTCGATACCGAGTTACAGTAATGGACACACAACAAAGAACCTTTTTTGTTTTCTTTCTTTTGGGCACTAATCTGCACAAAACTTCTCGGGGCTTCAAGACACACTCGAGAAGTGTTGTGCCTGTCCCCTCCATTGGAAGAGGAGAGGACGGGCTTGGGAAACGGCCTTCAAGACACACACTCCTGTCACAGAGTGGGTGACCCGATTGGGAACACAGGACATGCAGGAGCTGTCAAGAGAGGACAGGTGGGCTGCGGAGGCCCGATTGGGAACACAGGACATGCAGCCAAGTGACCCGATTGGGAACACAGGACATGCAGCCAAGTGACCCGATTGGGAACACAGGACATGCAGCCAAGTGACCCGATTGGGAACACAGGACATGCAGCCAAGTGACCCGATTGGGAACACAGGACATGCAGCCAAGTGACCCGATTGGGAACACAGGACATGCAGCCAAGTGACCCGATTGGGAACACAGGACATGCAGCCAAGTGACCCGATTGGGAACACAGGACATGCAGCCAAGTGACCCGATTGGGAACACAGGACATGCAGCCAAGTGACCCGATTGGGAACACAGGACATGCAGCCAAGTGACCCGATTGGGAACACAGGACATGCAGCCAAGTGACCCGATTGGGAACACAGGACATGCAGCCAAGTGACCCGATTGGGAACACAGGACATGCAGCCAAGTGACCCGATTGGGAACACAGGACATGCAGCCAAGTGACCCGATTGGGAACACAGGACATGCAGCCAAGTGACCCGATTGGGAACACAGGACATGCAGCCAAGTGACCCGATTGGGAACACAGGACATGCAGCCAAGTGACCCGATTGGGAACACAGGACATGCAGCCAAGTGACCCGATTGGGAACACAGGACATGCAGCCAAGTGACCCGATTGGGAACACAGGACATGCAGCCAAGTGACCCGATTGGGAACACAGGACATGCAGCCAAGTGACCCGATTGGGAACACAGGACATGCAGCCAAGTGACCCGATTGGGAACACAGGACATGCAGCCAAGTGACCCGATTGGGAACACAGGACATGCAGCCAAGTGACCCGATTGGGAACACAGGACATGCAGCCAAGTGACCCGATTGGGAACACAGGACATGCAGCCAAGTGACCCGATTGGGAACACAGGACATGCAGCCAAGTGACCCGATTGGGAACACAGGACATGCAGCCAAGTGACCCGATTGGGAACACAGGACATGCAGCCAAGTGACCCGATTGGGAACACAGGACATGCAGCCAAGTGACCCGATTGGGAACACAGGACATGCAGCCAAGTGACCCGATTGGGAACACAGGACATGCAGCCAAGTGACCCGATTGGGAACACAGGACATGCAGCCAAGTGACCCGATTGGGAACACAGGACATGCAGCCAAGTGACCCGATTGGGAACACAGGACATGCAGCCAAGTGACCCGATTGGGAACACAGGACATGCAGCCAAGTGACCCGATTGGGAACACAGGACATGCAGCCAAGTGACCCGATTGGGAACACAGGACATGCAGCCAAGTGACCCGATTGGGAACACAGGACATGCAGCCAAGTGACCCGATTGGGAACACAGGACATGCAGCCAAGTGACCCGATTGGGAACACAGGACATGCAGCCAAGTGACCCGATTGGGAACACAGGACATGCAGCCAAGTGACCCGATTGGGAACACAGGACATGCAGCCAAGTGACCCGATTGGGAACACAGGACATGCAGCCAAGTGACGCCTATGAACGGCGAAGGAAGCGGAAGGGGGGGTTGGGGTGAAGGGAGAAAGGAGCAGAGAAGAACAAATAGATAACACAAAAAATTGCTGGCATGTCCAGCCCATTCCTGCTGCCCAATCAGATGCCATACCATACCTGCCTCTGCACCCTAGCCTCACTTCAGAACCTTGACTCAACTACCTGCCATACCTGCTGCCCTATCTGCAGCGCCTTGCTGCATTTGAGCTTGTGAATGCACTCCTGTAGCTGGTGCTCTGTCATTCCCACTACCTGCCATACCAACCACTGCCCCTGGAAGCCTGCCATACCTGCTGCCCTATCTGCAGCGCCTTGCTGCATTTGAGCTCGTGGTTGCGCTCTTGCAGCTGCTCCTTGGTGACGTTGAACGCTGCTGCTATGGACGCACACGTGTCGCTCTGTTGGAAGCAGGGTCATTGGAGGGTAATGAAGGTGCAGAGTGGAATGCGGTACAGGGTGACATTTAAGCTCGTGGTTGCGCTCCTGTAGCTGCTCCTTGGTGACGTTGAACGACACTGCTATGGACGCACACACGTATCGTTCTGTTGTTCCGGGGACATTGGGGGATACGGGAGGTGCAGGGGAGTGGAGTGCGGTACGAGGTGAATTGGAGCCCACCTAAATGTGAGCAGCCACTGTCACGAATGCACACATGTCACAGCAGGAGCTTCAGGAGATTGAGTTGCACTGGCCTCCTCAGGATATGTGAGAGGAGACAGCACCACAGGCAGGAACTAGAGGCGATCGATTGAGTTGCACTGCAGATCAGGATATCGTGTGCAAAACGGTGCAGCAAACCGAAAAGAATGCGTATGGGTGGAGTCGGAGGTTGGGGGGGAATTGGGGTTGGGGGGTGGGGTCGCGATGGGGGTTTTGCACTTGTAGGGTGGGTACGGGGAGGGGGATTTTCCAGGGAGAGGCAAGCTTACAGATGAAGTGACTGTATAGGACGTGGCACACGGGTTGGTGTCGCCGATGTGGATCTCCTCTCCCAGCTGCAGCTTCTTGCAGTTCAGCTTCTGCTCCAACGGGGGATAAGGGAGGTGGAGGGGAGGGATGGGGGGTTTTACCGGGCTGTGCAGGGAAAGAATAACACACCGGGTTCAGAGGGGTAAGTATCATACACACCCTTACTGGGTTCAGATTGGTAAAGCTGGTGGAGTTGTCGCCATAGGTTGATGACATGTCCAGGTCGCATGCGAGTCCAAATGAAAAAATTGGGAGCACGGGAAGGTGGAGAGCGGTCTTACTGGATTGAGCTGGGTGAAGTTGGTGGCGTTGATGCCGTAGGTTGACATCACAATGTCGCATGTGAGCCCTGGAACAACCTCGATTTCATCGGGCGTTGGGCCTGGAATAGGAGAGGGGAGGGAGGGGGGAGGAGTTGAGAAGGAAAGAGGGCAGTGTGATGCCATAGGTGGACTTGACAATGTCGCATGTGAGCCCTGGAACAACCTCGATTTCATCGGGCGTTGGGCCTGGAATAGGAGAGGGGAGGGAGGGGGGAGGAGTTGAGAAGGAAAGAGGGCAGTGTGATGCCATAGGTGGACTTGACAATGTCGCATGTGAGCCCTGGAACAACCTCGATTTCATCGGGCGTTGGGCCTGGAATAGGAGAGGGGAGGGAGGGGGGAGGAGTTGAGAAGGAAAGAGGGCAGTGTGATGCCATAGGTGGACTTGACAATGTCGCATGTGAGCCCTGGAACAACCTCGATCTCACCGGGCGTGGGTACTAGAATAGGAGGGAAGTATGAGAAGGATGGGGGGAATGGGAAGGAGGGGCAGGGAGTGAAAGGGGGGAAAGGAGGAAAAAAGGCAAGGTGATGCCATAGGTTGATGACATCACAACGTCGCATGTGAGCCCTGGAATAACCTCGATTTCACCTGGCGTGGGTCCTGCAAAGGTAGAGGAATGGGGAGAACGGGAGAACGGGGAGGAGGAAGGGAGGAGGAGGAGGAGGAGGAGGAGGAGGAGGAGGAGGAGGAGGAGGAGGAGGAGGAGGAGGAGGAGGAGGAGGAGGAGGAGGAGGAGGAGGAGGAGGAGGAGGAGGAGGAGGAGGAGGAGGAGGAGGAGGAGGAGGAGGAGGAGGAGGAGGGCGAGAAGGAAGGGAGCAGGGTGATGCCATAGGTGGGGATCACATGCAGCTCCTCAGCACCAGCAGCGACGAGCGCCCGCCAGCAGGGTTGGAATGTGATAAGCTTCGGTTCAAGGGTTGGGAATACTTAAGCAGAGTGCCAGGAACGAGGCAATGCACCAAGGAGGATGCCGGAGAGGGCGTGTTGGCGGGCTTGGCGACAAACAAGACCCCCCGCGGGCAGATGCAGATGCAGTTGTAGAGGCTTCACCAGCAGCGACGAGCAGGAGCAGGATTGAGAGCTGGTTGGCACTGACGGAAGCTGAAGGGGACTCACCGAGGATGCAGGAGGGTGTGTTGTCGGGCCTGGCATCGAAGAAAAAGCCTGGCGGGCAGATGCAGATGCAGATGCAGCCGCCTCAACAGCAGCAGGATACACAAGCAGAGTGAGAGGAAAGTGAAGGCGACTTGGGACACCACACCCACCGAGGATGCAGGAGGGTGTGTTGTCCGGCCGGGTATCAAAGAAGAATCCCGGCGGGCAGATGCAGTTGTAGCCGCCTCTGGCGTCGTCCAGACACGTGCCCACCTGGCAGGGATTCACCGCGTTCAGCGAGCACGGCTTCACTGGTGTGTGGGAGAGGGGAGGAGGGAGAGGCAGAAGGAAGGGAGGGGATTGAGGATGGTAAGGGAGGAAGGAGGTGCAGTTGTAGTCCCCTCTGGCGTCGTCCAGACACGTGCCCACCTGGCAGGGATTGACCGCGTTAAAAGAGCACGGGTTCACTGGTGGTGGGAGAGGGCGGGGAGAGAAGAGGGGGATGGGGAGAGGCAAAAGGGGAGAGAGTCGCATCGGTCAATGTTTCCTCCCCCACACTGGTGTGTGGGAGAGGGCAGGGAGAGGGAAGTGGAGGGTAGGGGAGGGGAGGCAAAGAAGGAGACGTATTGGTCTATCTACCATTGACGTTTCCTCCCCACAATGAAAAATCGTCTTGCACTGCATTCTGCATGTCTATCCCAATCACCCCCCACTGCACGTGCCGCCCCCACTTCTCCCCTTCCCACCCTAAACCCTGCCACGCGCCCGCCCCTGCCAACCTGCAAAACAACCCACCCACCCACCACCCGCAACCCCCACACCCACCCACCCACCCACCCCTCCTCCCCCACAACTAACCCGATACATACATGGAATGCACACAGGCGATTGGTCGATATTCTTCCCCACGACGAAACTCGTCTTGCACTTGCACGAGTACCCCCCTGGGCCCCTGCCGGCACTGCAAGTGCCGCCCCCACACGGGTTGGGCACACACGGGTTGGGACCCCGAACCACAGGGTAGAGAGCAGGAGACGTGTTGATGCCACATATGCCGTCTCCTGTATTTTTTTGAGAGAATGGGAGGGGGAATGGGACGGGACGGGACGGGACAGGAACGGGATTGGATGGACAGGGTTCTGAGTGTTTATAAGGCGTTCGGTTCGGTGCACATGGGTTGGGGTTCGGCACTACAGGGTAGAGGGCAGGTGATGTGTTGATGCTGCAGATGCCGTCACCTGCAGGTGGGTGCAGAGGGGTGGAGAGGGGAAAGGAGTTGGGGAAGTTTACACTGTGGTTTTGGCACACACGGGTTGGGGTTCGGCACTACAGGGCAGAGGGCAGAAGATGTGTTGATGCTGCGGATGCCATCTCTCCTGTTTGAAGAGGGGTGGAGAGCGGTGGATAGGAATGGAGAGGAGGAAGTGGGAATGCGTTAAGAAAGTGTTGAGAGTATGGGTTGCAGCTGACGTGTTGCTTAGGGTTATTTTTGAGTCGACTCAAAAATAGGTTGCGGGTGACGTGTTGCTTAGGGTTATTTTTGAGTCGACTCAAAAATAGGTTGCGGGTGACGTGTTGCTTAGGGTTATTTTTGAGTCGACTCAAAAATAGGTTGCGGGTGACGTGTTGCTTAGGTCGTCTCTCCAGCAAGTGTCAAGAAAGGCTTGGTGTCAAGCGTTGTTTACGGTTGACACCAAGTGGAGCCGCGTGTGAGCGCGGCTCCAGCCTGGTGTCAATGTTGGGCACATTGGACGATTTCCCGCGATCTCATTGGTTGGTTTAGCTGACACCAGGAGGGATAGTCCTCCATGTGTTTTCGAGTTGGTGTCATGACACTAGCCCCTCTTGACACTTGCTGGAGAGACGACCTTAGGGCTCTCAGCGCACTCGGGGAGACGTGTTGCAAGATGAGGACTTCAAAGCACATGAGGACTTCAAAGCACTGCAAGATGTGTTGCAAGATAAAGTAGGGCGTGCCGACCTTCAAAGCACATGAGGACTCACCTGATGCGATGGCCATCTGTATTAAGCCGCCCAACCCCCAGGTGGCTGCCCAGGTGTTTTGCAGGAGGAAGTACCACGTGCGCGTGGCAACCTGTGTAAAGCACATGAGGACTCACCTGATGCATCTGCATTAAGCCGCCCAACCCCCAGGTGGCTGCCCAGGTGTTTTGCAGGAGGAAGTACCACGTGCGCGTGGCAACCTGTGTAAAGCACATGAGGACTCACCTGATGCGATGGCCATCTGTATTAAGCCGCCCAACCCCCAGGTGGCTGCCCAGGTGTTTTGCAGGAGGAAGTACCACGTGCGCGTGGCAACCTGTGTAAAGCACATGAGGACTCACCTGATGCGATGGCCATCTGCATTAAGCCGCCCAACCCCCAGGTGGCTGCCCAGGTGTTTTGCAGGAGGAAGTACCACGTGCGCGTGGCAACCTGTGTAAAGCACATGAGGACTCACCTGATGTGATGGCCATCTGCATGAAGCCGCCCACGCCCCAGGTGGCCCCCCAGGTGTTTTGCGCAAGGAAGTAGGGTGTAGAACCGGCCATGCTGTACCCCACGAGCAGCACTATGTGATTCACCACCCCGTTGATGAAGCAGTCTGGATCCGCGTAGATGTAGCCCTGGCGGACCCAAGGAGGGAGGAGGAGAAGGGGGAGAGGACGGGGAAGAGGGGGGACAAGGGGGAAGAGAGGTGCATATTCAGTCTGGTGTGGAACCAGACATGTTCCACCCCACGAGCAGCACTATGTGATTCACCACCCTGTTGATAAAACAGTCAGGGTCAGCATAGGTGCAAACGAACAGCCAGACCTTCCCTTCGGTACGTGCCCTCCACTCCACAACCCCTCAGCAACGCACAGTGCACACACCCTCGCACAAACCCTCGCACACACCCTCGCACACACCCTCTTACACATCCTCTTACACACCCTCTTCTAAATCACTCTCTTTCAAATCACTCTCTTTCAAATCACTCTCTTTAATGCACAGACCCACCTTCCCCTCTCGTGCATGCAACTCACCCCAGCATATTGGATGAAGGACGTTTGGTCTGCCTCCACGATGGCGATTATTTTTTTTGAGACGTCTCAAAAATAACGTTTCGTCTGCCTCCATGATGGCAACGATTGGACAAGCCTGCAGACTTAAGAGTCGAATTTTGAGACGTCTCAAAAATACCCTCTCTACACATCGCCTCCATGATGGCAATGATTGGACAAGCCTGCAGACTTTTGAGTCGAATTTTGAGACGTCTCAAAAATACCCTCTCTACACATCGCCTCCACGATGGCAATGATTGGACAAGCCTGCAGGTTTTTAAGTCAACTCAAAACACACCAGGTTTTGAAGTCAACTCAAAACACACCAGGTTTTGAAGTCAACTCAAAACACACCAGGTTTTGAAGTCAACTCAAAAACACACCAGGTTTTGAAGTCAACTCAAAACACACCAGGTTTTGAAGTCAACTCAAAACACACCAGGTTTTGAAGTCAACTCAAAACACACCAGGTTTTGAAGTCAACTCAAAACACACCAGGTTTTGAAGTCAACTCAAAACACACCAGGTTTTGAAGTCAACTCAAAACACACCAGGTTTTGAAGTCAACTCAAAACACACCAGGTTTTGAAGTCAACTCAAAACACACCAGGTTTTGAAGTCAACTCAAAACACACCAGGTTTTGAAGTCAACTCAAAACACACCAGGTTTTGAAGTCAACTCAAAACACACCAGGTTTTGAAGTCAACTCAAAAGCCTGCAGCACAATCACCATGACCAGCCAGCCTACCTTGAACCTTTTTTCCAACACAATCCCTCCACCCCCTCCCGATTCAACTCATCCCAGCGTATTCAATAAAGGAAGTTTGGTCCGCCTCTATATTCGCAATGATTGGCTTCGCCTGCAGCGCAATCACCATGGCCAGCCAACCAGACACCCTTTTCCAACTCAACCCGGCATATTCTATGTTTGCAATGATTGGCTGCGCCTACAGCACAATCACCACGCCCAGCCAACCAACCAGACACCTTCATCCAACTCACACCCTCCAACACAGCCGCACACACCCTCTCCTCCCCCCCAACTCACCCCAGTGTATTCAATGAAGGACGTCTGGTCCACCTCCACGTTTGCAATGATGGGCTGATGTTAAGTTGACGATTCTGTTCAATCTGGCTCTCTAAAACGCTTTAGCTCACAAGCTCTCCAGGCTTTCACCATTCTTTCATTTCATGGAGTTTGCTTCGTTGTCCTAAGAAACAGTTTAAGTTGATGGACATAAGACCTCTGCAGCCCACCTGTTTATTCCTGACGTCTGGTCCACCTCCACGTTTGCAATGATGGGTTGCGCCTGCAGCGCAATCAGCATGGCCAGCCAACCAACCACACACAGTGCACAAACACACATTCACACCCTCGTGCAACTCACCCCAGTGTATTCGATGAAGGAAGCTTGGTCCGCCTCTATGTTGGCAATGATGGGTTGCGCCTGCAGCGCAATCACCATGCCCAGCCAACCAGAGACCGCCACCTGTTCGAACATGGCGACCCTGTACGGCCCGGGAACCGGCTGGGCAGCAGGGGCAGGAGGCGGCTTTTTCTTTGCCTTCTTTTTGAGGAGGCCAACGGAGGATGAGCGAGAGGAGGAGAAAAAGGAAGAGGAATAAAAAGAGGAGGAAGAGGAGGAGGAAGGAAGTGGGGAGGAGGATGAGGAGGAGGAAATTGGTGATGATTGGAGGATGCGGGCGCGAGGAATGTGGAAGAAGGAGGAGAGGATGGAGGTGAAGCGGGAGGAGAAGAGGGAGGATGGAGGAGGAGGGGGTAGTGGAGGAGGGTGGAGCGGTGACGATTCAAATGCAGGCTGGGAAATTCTTCTGCTTGGTTTTGCTGGGAGCCGGTTGGGAGAAATGGACGGAGGTGAAGGCGGAGGAGGAGGGGGAGGAGGAGGGCGACGGGTGGTAGGAAGAGCAGGGGGAGCGGGAGGAGCAGGAGCTAAGTGGGAATGTTGTTGCAGATGCTGGTGCTGTTGGTGCTGTGATTGTTGTTGTAGCGAGGAGTCTTGTATCGAGGCATGGAGGTGGTCCTCTAGTGCTCGATCGAACCAGAGGTCGGGAGGGAAGGATTCTGCCAGTTTCCTCCTCTGGGCGGGCTGGGGTAAGGGAGAAGGGAGAGGAGAGGAGTGAGGGAGAAGAGGATAAGCAAGAGCAGGTGCTGCCAGTTTCCTCCTCTGGACAGGCTGGGGGAAGGGAGGAATGAGAATGACAAAAGGCACAGAAGCAGGGGGATGGAGCAGGAGAGGAATGGTGATGATCCTCTAGTGCTTGATCGAACCAAGGATCAGGTGGGTGGGAAAAATGTTGGCAAACGCGTGCCGGCGATACGTGAGTGACTGGGACTGTTTCTGAGTCGACTCAAAAACAGGCTCGAACCACGGATCAGGTGGGTGGGAAGGATGCTGAGAAACGCGTGTCGGTGCTGCGTGAGTCAGGAGAGCCAGGGGGAGTCGACTCAAAAGAAGTGCAAAGCTGAGTAGCATATGGCATGCATACAGCACATACTCAATTCCGAACCACCATCTGGCAGCGCACCATCACGCATACGCCCACTCCACTCCACCCCACTCAACCCACAGCTGGAGGCATCCTTGGTGCCCGTGTAAGGCACGATGAATTCCAGCAGCACTCCCCCTGCGGCTGCAAGCCATCCACCACTCAACCTCTACCCTCACTTTCGAGACGTCTCAAAAGTAGACGAGTTTCGAGACGTCTCAAAAGTAGACGAGTTTCGAGACGTCTCAAAAGTAGACGACTTCTGAGACGTCTCAAAAGTCGACAACTTCTGAGACGTCTCAAAAGTCGATGAATTCCAGCAGCACTCCCCCTGCGGCTGCAAGCCATCCACCACTCAACCTCTAGAACACCATGTAGGTGCCATGGTTTCAATACGTAGCAGCAACTCTTAGGGATCGACACCTTGAAGTTTGTTAGTGTTGTGCTTGCGGCTGCAAGCCATCCACCACTCAACCTCTACCCTCACGCCCACTCCACTCCACCCCACTCACTCCACAGCTGGAGGCATCTTTCGTGCCCTTGTACGGCACTCTGAACTCCGGCAGCACTCCCGCTTAGACAGCGAGCCATAGCTAATCACCCACTCCACTCCACCCCACTCCACCCCTCTCCACTCCACTCACTCCCCTCCACTCACCGGACAGCTGGAAGCATCTTTGGTGCCAGTGTACGGCACAATGAATTCCGGCAGCACTCCCGCTGAAGCAGAGAACTGGAAGGCGTCGGAAGGAAGCCCCCCCACGCACTCCCAGGTGCCCTGGCAGTTGAGAATGTGCTGCCCCGAGATGTTGGGCTGGTTCGACCCGAACGCGATTGCATAGGCTGCCTCGATCGCTGCCACCGGTACGAGAGCCCAACACGCGGCTGATAGGGAGGGGGAAAAAAGGGGAGAGGGTGGGGGTGGGCCGAGATGTCGGGCTGGTTCGACCCGAACGCGATGGCATAGGCTGCCTCCATCGCTGCTAGGACAAGAGCCACGTGATAAAATAAAACTCTTATCACATCGCTGCTAGGACGAGAGCCCAACACGCCGCTGTTGGTGGGGCGAGGGGGAGGGGGGGGTGGAGAGATAGAGAGGGAAAAGAGGGATGAGAGAGATGGGAGGGGGAAGAGTGGAAGGGACACCTCCCCACGCCGCCCCCTCTCTCCATCCGCCACGCTCGTATACACAAGGGGGGAAGAGTGGAAGGGACATCCACAAGGGCTTAATGGTTGTGCCCTTGCAGCCCAGGCTCGCCCCCTCTCTCTATCCACCGCGCTCTTATACGTCCATGACGGCTCAACCAGTCCCCCCCCAACCCAATGCTCACCGCACGTGCCCTGGTCAACCGTAGGCCCCACGACGGTCCTGTTCTGCTTGCTGACGACTTGAGTGCGCCAGTCCACTGCAGTCTTGTACGTCCATGAGGGCTTCGTGGCCGTGCCCTTGTACCCCAGGCTCACGTAGCGGAAGTACTTGTTGAAATTGACGAGCGGCTGTGGAGACGGGAGGGCAGCAGAGCAGGGAGAGGGGAGAGAGGAGTCAAGAGGTTTATCACTCCATCCGTGTCGAGCCGTTGCACCCCAGGCTCACGTAGCGGAGGTACTTGTTGACATTGACGAGCGGCTGCGGAGAGAGGCGTGGGTGCGGGGCGGGAAAGTGGAGGGAGCGAGGGAAGACAGGGGAAATGGAGAGTTCTGAGCCATGTTCTGTTGTTGTACCCCAGGCTCACGTGGCACGCGTACTTGTTGCAATCGGTGAGCCTCAAAAGGGAGGTGTGCGGGAGAAAGGGGAAAGACAGGTAAACCGGAAAGGGATTGCCTGGTTTGGTGGCTGTGCCGTTGCATCCCAGAGAGGGAGGAGGAAAGGGACAGCTGATGGTTTGATCTGATATGATATGATATACAAAAAACCGCCTTACAAATCTCTGCTCTGCCTACCTTGGTTGCAACAGCTTGATAGTCCGTATCCTTGAGGCCTGGTTTGCGCTTATCAGGGTCTGTTTATACAGGGGATGGGGGAAGGAGGGAGGAAGGAAGGGAATGTGGTAACAACATGTTGTTTGTCTTGTAGTGAATGAGAATCTGCACAGGTGGAGTGCGTGTGTGGGTGCATGCATGAGCGTGTGAGTGTGTGCATGCATGCAAGTAAAACCATGAGTGAAGGATCTGCACACGAGCTAACTGTAAGAGCAGAACTGGGGAGTGCTATAACGAGGACATACCTTCTGGTGGGGGAGGAGGGGGCGGCGGGGGCGGATTAGCCACAACAGCCGTGCTGCAAGAGGGGTACGAGATTCCATTCTGGGTCGCAATGTACGGGTTATAGTCAGTATCACATTCACATGTCGGGATGCGCGAGGGTCCAGACAAATAACACCGCCCGTGCCCGCCGCACGGGCCCATCGCAGTGCTCGCGCCACAAAACGCCAAACAATCGGTGGATCTCCGCTGCTTGTCTGATGTGCATGTCCCGGTCCCCGAAGTTACCATGCAGTTTCCTCTCACAGTCCCATACAAAGACGGGCTGTAGGGCAGGAGGGCTGACTGGGCAAATCCCCCTTGGAGTGCATTCGGGCAGAAAGAAATTGTTCCGCTGCCCGCCGTGATCTTCGTTTTGGCCGAGCCGTTAAAGTAGTTTCTCTCGATGTTGTATGTGGCCTCGGAGGTGGACTGAAAAGAGGTGCTGGCGAATCCCGTGGGTGCGGGGCCTGAGAACTCGTTATTGGATATGTCACTGTGATGTGATGTGATGTGATGTGATGTGATGCAAGCAGGCAGGAGAACAAGGAAGGGAAGGGAACGGGAGCAAGGGAGGGGGAGGGGGAGGGGGATGGAGGGGAAGGAGAGAAGGATGCTGTAAGTCCCGTGGGAGCTGGTACAGACGAAATGCAGGCGAGTCCGGTGGTTGGTTGGTTGGAGGAAAGCTGCCTCGGAGGTGGACTGAAAGGAGGTGCTGGCGAATCCCGAGGGTGCGGGTCCTGAAAACTCGTTATTGGATATGCCACTGTGATGTGATGTGATGTGATGTGATGTGATGTGATGTGATGTGATGTGATGTGATGTGATGTGATGTGATGCAAGCAGGACAGCGAAACAAACGACGTTGGAAAGGGGGAGGGGAGGGGAGAAGGGGGCAGTTGGGGAGGGGGAGGGGAATGGGAAGAGAGGGAAAGAGAAGGAAACAGTGATGCTGTAAGTCACCTGGGAGCAGGTACAAAGGAAGTCACTTTTTGAGGCGCCTCAAAAGTTCCTCTCCACCCGCAAGAGGTTTGAGAGAGCAATAACCTCTGCTGGCATGCTGCCAGACAGCCACTGATCTCCTCACCACCTCCCTTGTGTCACATGCCCTCTGCTCGCCTTACCAACTCGTTACTGACACATTCCCTCTGCTCGCCTTACCAACTCGTTACTGGCACATTCCCTCTGCTCGCATCGCCACCTCGTTACTGTCACATTCCCCGTGCCGTACTCACAAGTACATAAGGTTGGGGAGAGCGATGACCTCTTTGGGTATGCTGCCAGACAGCCGGTTCTTGCTCAGATCGCTGGGGAATGGGAGAGGGGGATAAGGAGAAGGGTGGGCGGCAGGGGATAGATGGTTGGGGAGTGAGTAAGAAGTCAGATTTACAGTCGGAAAGGAGTTCTGATGACCTCTTTTGGTATGCTGCCAGACAGCCGGTTCTTGCTCAAATCGCTGGGGAAGAGGGGAGTGCCACGGGAGGGGTGGGTGGGTGGGTATGGCATTGGGAAAGGGAATGATAGGGGGAGAGGAGAACGATGACCTCTTTTGGTATGCTGCCAGACAGACAGCCGGTTCTTGCTCAGATCGCTGGGGTAGAGGGGAGAGGGGTATGATGAGAGGGAAGCGATGGGTGGGTGGAGACGGCATGGAGAAAGGATATCAATGGGACTGTAGCAACCACCTTTGAGGCGCCTCAAAAAATGAAGACGGCATGGAGAAAGGATATCAATGGGACTGTAGCAACCACCTCTGCTGGTATGCTGCCAGACAGCCTGTTCTTGCTCAGGTCGCTGGGGAAGGGAAGAGGGGAAGAGGAGAAGACAGGAAGTTGGGGCAAGTGTGTGAACTGAAACAGAGCAACGCAAACAGGAAACAGCAGGAGAGTAAGAGCAGGTAACGAATGCGTTGACTTTATGAACGACGTGCTGCTACCGTCACACAAGTATGCATTTACTTATGAGAATCTTGCTACAGTCACACGAGTATGCATTTACTTACGAGCAGCTCGCTACTGTCACACGTACAGGGCTTCAAGGTCCGTGAGAGCCCCAAGTTCCGACGGCACTTGATCCGAGAGGCGGTTGTCACTGAGGAGACTGCATGAGAAGGAGGGCGGGTGTGGTGAGTGAGAGGAGAGTTTGGTTGAAATGTGAGTTGTGATTGCGGATGGAGGTGAGCGTTTCCGACGGCACTTGATCCGAGACGCGGTTGTCACTGAGGAGGCTGCAAGGAACAGGAGCAACGGAGAAAGAAGGGGGAGGGTTTGGTCAGGATGTGAACGATGAGATGGATGAGGGCGGTGGGAGCAACCGAATCCAGATAGCACTTGCTCAGACATGCGGCTGTTGCATCCCTTGGCATCCCTATGCACCCCTTGACATCCCGTCGCACCCATTCGCATCCTTTTGAATACCTCAAAAGCGCAGCCACTCACAGAAATCTGAGCTTCTGCAGCTGGGAGTAGCCAGTGGGGATGGAGCCAGTGAGCTCATTGCGACCCAGCGTCCTGGGAGGGGAGCAACACGCACACGCACAGGCAGGTGATTCTTCGGTCGGTGTTTTTCCAGTCGACCCAAACGCACACGCACAGGCAGGTGATTCTTCGGTCGGTGTTTTTCCAGTCGACCCAAACGCACACGCACAGGCAGGTGATTCTTCGGTCGGTGTTTTTTCAGTCGACTCAAACGCACACGCACAGGCAGGTGATTCTTCGGTCGGCGTTTTTCCAGCCGACTCAAAAAATCATCATCTGAGACATGAAGCAACTAGCACACGGAGCAGGTGGCATACTGTACGGGCGAGACTACGGCTGATGGTATGGGGGGCTTGCCTGACAGCCTAGTGGACATCAAGATTCGCAGTAACGCACTTATCCTCAGTATGTTGCGAGAACTCTCACAGTATGTTGAGCGCAGTTAGTGTGCTGAAACCGGCTGGTAGGTCATCCTCGATTGAGTTGTCGTGTAGCTTGCTGGGGAGAGGTGAAGAAATGAAGAACAGAAATGCTAACAACAATAACAATCAAGCAAACAGACAAAGCGAGTAGTATTGCAAACAAGACTAAGCACTCAAATTCAAAGTCACAATCCCAAAACGGAAACCTATATATACAAACAAAATAAAAACAAAAACAAAAAAAAAAAGTTACAGTTCTTCCAGTGTGACTAGCGAGGCAATCGAAGCCGTGGGGATCGTTCCCTCCAAATCCTGATCGCTGAGGTCACTGTTGGGTGAACGGGGGGGGAGGGCAAGAGGGGAGAAGAGGGAGGACGAGGACAGGAAGCGTTACTACAGAGGCAATCGAAGCCGTGGGGATCGTCCCCTCCAAATCCTGATCGCTGAGGTCACTGTTGGGTGAACGGGGGGGGAGGGCAAGAGGGGAGAAGAGGGAGGACGAGGACAGGAAGCGTTACTACAGAGGCAATCGAAGCCGTGGGGATCGTCCCCTCCAAATCCTGATCGCTGAGGTCACTGTTGGGTGAACGGGCGGGGGGGAGGGGGGGAAGAGGGGGGAAGAGAGGGGTAGGAGAGAAGGGAAAGAGGGGGGAAGAGGTGATTCGCAGAAGTGATTCCAGCATACCCTAATTCCGTGCGACTCACAGCTGCGTCACATAGCCGTTGTCGTCGCACACCACTCCCAGCCACGAGTCGCACATCTCCCCAGAAACCCACGAGGATTAATTACGTGCCTCAAGAACCGCTCAACTCACACCCCGACACCTACCTGGTGAATCCCGTGAGACTACGCGACTCACAGCTGCGTCACAAAGCCGTTATCGTCGCACACCACTCCCAGCCACGTGTCACACGTCTCCCCCGACACCCACGAGGTCGTGGCGCTGGGCCACGTGGTAGCTATTGCTTGCATCGCGGCGGCTGCAGGCGAAGTTAGGCCGAAAAAGGGGGAGGAGAAGAGTGGGGGAGAGGGGAGGGGAGAGGAGGGGGAGTGGGGGAGGAGAGGAGGGAGGGAGACGGGGGAAAGAGGGGCGGAGGGAGGCGGAAGGAGGGGGGAAAACCGGGGAAGTTGAGCTTTGCGACGGCTGCGACAGCTCCGACGGGTGCGACGGCAATCGCTCATGGTCTCGTCGGAGGTCGGCACAGTGGCTTCCGAATTTTTCGCGAACTCACATTTTCGCGAACTCACAGCCGTGTCGCAACGCATTCCATCAAACCGTCACCGAAGGGTCGGTTCAATCTTCTTGCCATTCTGTCACGACATCGATTCTGCTAAGATCTAGGAGACGTCGGCCATTCAGACGCATTCGGCGCTTCTCGAGTCGCGCGCGACTTGAAACGACGAACCATCCTTACTAGTTGCGAAGAAAGCACGGCCACGCCATCAGGTCTGGCTTAACAAATAACCAGTTTGCTGAAACTAAGATTCTTTCAAGTCACTGGTCCTTAGGCACCTCAGAAGTGTTTCTAAGGCGCGAATCCGAAACACTCCCACCCCTACTCACACTGCGACGAATCGACGGGGACGCTTGTAGCTGATTCGACGGTTAGCTGCATCGCCGGCAAGAACGCAACCATCGTCAGCACTGCGACAATCGTTAACTGCTGTCCGTTTAGCCGACCGCTTAGCCGTCTGGATGGCCGTCCGTTTAGCCATCCTTCCAGCCGTGCGTCTGTTCTCACCCTCGTTATCCTCTTTCGGCTCGACATACTCCCTCGCTCTGCCGTCATCCTCCCACCCGTGTGGAAGCGCCTCGAGTCGAGACAAACCTATCCTAAACCGAGAACACTGATGCGGGAGAAATGCAGAGCTAAAATTCAAAAGAAGCTGGGTTAAACACACCAAACGAGTTTGAGTGAGACGGCGTCTAAGAGCTAGGAGCCCGGCTCCTCAAAACTGACAACAGGAGAACTGGGTCTGTACGGATTGAAACGCAAGATTGTCGCACTAACGAGCCGTGCGTTGACAGAGTCTGAAGGAGCTAGTACTATGCACCAGACGTGCCGACATGGATGACTTTGCTTAGCTAAATCAAGCAGACGCGGGAGACTTGGCTTTCAAAGACTATCTTTCTGGCTATCGCTATGGAAGCGGCCCTATCGAGGCGTCCGACGCGTGCGAAGCGAGGCTGAATGACCGAGGGGAGGTACTAGGGAGGCACAACGCAGCGACTCCGGTAGTGAATCTTAGAGAAAGTACACTAGGAGCTTGGCCGCTAACGAAACAGCCTATCATTCCGTGAATGGCACAGAACTTGAACAGTGTATCACGCTGTGTGTCAGCTGTATTCACATTCTCAGCTCTTTCGGTGCGCCAAAACGCGACAAGAAAACAGTTTACGAAAATGAAACGCTCCAGCTGCTTCCACCAAAGCTTCTTGTGTAAGCTTTTCGAGGACCTTGTGCAAGCTTTTCGAGGAGAATCCGTGGCGTGAACCCACTCGCCCTCACAAGCTTCACTGTGCGGGGGAGGTGGATCTTCGCAAGCAGGATGAGAAATCTGTGCGCTTGAAAAGGGTGGAATAGAAAGGTATCTTCCTACGATGGCAGCATTATGTAAGGGAAATTATACGCGCAGTCACAATTTAGGCCGTATTATCACGTTTGGTCACGGGGTTATCATGGACAGTCACAGTACAGTACTTCGCTATCACGTGTGATCACAGCGCTATCACGCGTGGTCACACCTCGCCCCGCAGGGTTATCACGTTTGGTCACTCGTTGAAACGCCCGCCAAAAAGTCGAAACTCTCAAATCTACTGTACAGATTCGGGTACTATTATCTCGCGCGCGTTTTGTCTGTAGTGAAAAACGTGATGTGACTGTCGAAATATACTCGGACCTTGTTAGGGACCGATGCAGTTTAATGCACAGTCCGCATGTTGCAGTGAATATAAGCGATCAATAACAGTTTAGATTAGTTTAGGGTGTGCATTTCATCACTCCATAATCGAAACAAAGACAACCGAGCAAGTCAGGTAGATGGGTGTGCATTTCATCCATAAACTAAATGTATAATCGAAACAAAGACAACCGAGCAAGTCAGGTAGATGGAGTGATGAAATGCACACCCTAAACTAAATGTATAATCGAAACTGTTATTGATCGCTTATATTCACTGCAACATGCGGACTGTGCATTAAACTGCATCGGTCCCTAACAAGGTCCGAGTATATTTCGACAGTCACATCACGTTTTTCACTACAGACAAAACGCGCGCGAGATAATAGTACCCGAATCTGTACAGTAGATTTGAGAGTTTCGACTTTTTGGCGGGCGTTTCAACGAGTGACCAAACGTGATAACCCTGCGGGGCGAGGTGTGACCACGCGTGATAGCGCTGTGATCACACGTGATAGCGAAGTACTGTACTGTGACTGTCCGTGATAACCCCGTGATCAAACGTGATAATACGGCCTAAATTGTGACTGCGCGTATAATTTCCCATTATGTAACCCTACTTTTCTGTTCAGTTCAGGCGGTCAAGCACGTTAATGTGCAATCTGGAACGGTTTACCGGCCCAACAAACATACAAATCATGAACTGTAGACGAGCTTCACGGGGGCGCCCTAACATGACGGCAGCATTGTCGTTTCTGGAGTCTCTCGGGGGGTGCGAAATGAAGCTGGTGTGGTGTCAGAGTGAGAGGCAGGATTGCCTGGGATAGAGTGCAGCGGTCCGTGTCAGTGGGGGGAAGGCAAGAGTGGTTAGGAGAAGAGGGGGAGTGGAATCAGGATGCTGTGATGGTTGGGATGTGGGCAGCAATGCAAATTGCTCTGTTCTTTGTCGGCAGGGCAGGGAAGATAGAGTTCTAATTCTAGCCCTTCAGTACCAGGGGTAATCAAACATGTTTCTAAAAATACCGGTATTAATCCTTCAGTACACTCTTCTGGGCTCGCAGAGAAGTATTTGGCAGTCCAAACGTTCAGACGACTGCCCTAGACCATGGCGAAGTTTCCCGCAGCAACGTCTGTTTCTGAGCTGGGGAGGTTCGAGACTTGCAGCAAGAGAACTTGGGCATTCGCAAAATACCACCGCAAGGAGCATTTCGGAACGTTCGGATGGGAGGGAGAGCCTCCCCTCCTCCCTCCACGCACTTGCAGAGTGGCCAACACGCATTTTCCGGTGCGCTGAGTGGGAGCAACAAATGTCGGTGCCAGCACAGTGTGGCTCTGCGACAGTCGTGGATCATGAAGTCGGATAGTCTCTCAGAATAACTCGTTTTTCGGGGTATAATTTCTGACCTCCCTTCAACAATATGTTCATGAGGTTGTACCTCTAAACTTAAGACCTTATTTGAAGCTGTTACCCATTCTGTAACATGCGACCGTTTATATAATTATTTGGATGTATGCCTCATGAAATTAACTGGCCAACGTCAGTCCCACGGCAGGGTTGTCGAAGCAAAGGCATTTGCCCTTTACGCAATGGACATTCAGGATTACGTTCGGAGCACCTCGACCATTTGAAGTCATTGATTCGATGGGCCCCCGTGACGGTTAAGGGTTTCTTTGTGCCCTTCCCCATAGTTGTTACGGGCTCCATTTGGCCCATCCACTCTATATAAATATTAATATCAAGGAAGAAACACACCTCCTCTCTCTCCTCTACCTATTTCTCTGATCGCCTCATCCTTCCCCTTTCTTATCGAATTGCACATAAGAGCACAAATCTAGTGACATGGTTGCTTAGGAACAACCCTATTGTATTATATCGCTCATTGGTGCGACTTAGCAATAGGCTGGAACCGTTACTTAGTTTTCTCAAACCAAAGTACACTATATTTCAAAGTTCGAAATCCATGTTTTGCCTTAGCATGTGCCCGTGACTGTTAATGGCGTAAATAAGTTAACAGTTCCAAGTACTGGTCCCAAACACGTGGACAGGCTTGTTCCCCCGTTCCCCGAGCAATGTTGATTGACTGTGGGCAAAGAAATATAAACCCCGTCAGGGGTCGTGAGAGGATGATGGAATCAGCGACGATGGAGAACGAAGTGACATCGGGGAAGAGAAATTCATGACGAGGCGCCTTACATAGCAAAGGAGCGGGTAGAGTAGCGAGCAAGAAAATCATGCGGACATTGCTTCGACATCGCGACCTGACGAATCTGTACTCGCTCGGCTGGCGGTAGCATGCGACTAAGGGCACATTGGGTGAAATCGCAACGCGACACCCAAACCGAGTACACAATCTGTGCCATGGTGTGAGCCTCCCGCTCCCCAAGAGCACAGGTTGTTCGAGGGCAGGTAGCTCACCCGACGCATGGGCCTACGTGTAAACGTCGTCGTGACTCTGACTCTGCATGTGGAGCTGGACATCGAGGCGTCAAAATCTATCACCCCCCTTCCTGGATCGAGTCTCAATACGAGCTCGAATGCCGACACATGAGTGAGTAGGGGCACATCTGCAGCAGATAAAGGGGACAGCTAAAGGCGGTGGAGAACACAGTTGTTGAAGGAATTTGGCCTCGCCCTTGCATGGACAAAACTGACTTCGTGGTCGCATGCGCGGGAGTTGCAGCCGACCTTCTGCAGGAGTACATGGGTTGCCTGTACACGAGGTGTACTAGGGAATCCTTACAAGAGTAGCTGAAGCATCCGCGAGTGCATCACAAATGTTCCGTGCACACGTTCAAGTGGCGCATCTTCACATTTCCCATCTTCGAACACTTGAACTGCATCTCCAACATCTCCTCCACACGCTCAATCATTGCAGACGACTCGGAGAAGAGCAGGATGTCGTCCACATACACCAGCAGCATAAGGAACTGCTCCTTCTCTTGCAGCAGGAACAAGCTGTGGTCGCCCTCACTCTTCTTGAACCCCCGAGCCAGTAGTGTCTCCTCTAACTTGTGGTACCATGCACGAGGAGCCTGGTTCAGGCCATAGATGGCCTTCTTCAGCCTGCACACCCTGCCGCTCCCATCATCCAACCCCTCAGGTTGCAGCATGTACAGCTCCTCCAGAATGATCCCATTGAGGAAGGCAGTTATGATATCCATCTGCTTGAACCTCCATCCACGGTTTGCAGCCATAAACAACATCACCCTCAGTGTTGTCCCTTTCCCAACAGGAGCAAAAAGCTCATCGAAGTCCTTCCCTTTTGTCTGCTGAAACCCCTT